AGCGCTGGATCTCGACGATCTTACAGACGACGACGACGACGACGACGACGACGATCTTTTAGACTGTGAACAGTCTAAAAGGGGGGGGGGACGGTTTGGGAACCCCAAGGCCCGCTCTCTCGGTGGTACATCTGAATCCAATTACAAAATGGCTGACAGTGAAAGTGAGCACTCGATCTCGACGATCTTAAGGGAAAAAGGGGACTGTGAACAGTCTATCAATATTATAATTGATTGTAACTAAATATTTCATGACTTTTAACAAAATTAGCCAGTTGTAATAAAACAGTCATTTCTTTAGGTTCCGTAGGTTCCGCCGGTTCCACACGTTCCGCGGTCAGCAGTTGCTCAGATTAGTCTTATACCCAAGAAAAGAAAAAAACGACTCCCCCGTAAGAAGTGATTGCAAAAGGCCGTTGCTGCCAAACCCGGCGATGGGAAGTAACAAATGAAATGAAATGTTTGGCTTCGCAGTCGGGACCTGGAAGGATCGAATGGAACAGAAACAGGCAAAAATTGAAGTGCCTTGATTCTTAAAATCCCATTCCTTTCATGTAAAGTGCACCAAACATCCCTTGCATAAAAAATGAAAGTCTAAATTTTGCGATTTTTTAACTTGATAAATATGTTTAGTCAACTCAGCGTGGCGGTTAATATACTAAATTTATGGCTGCACGAGTTTAATTGTAGGCATGACAACGAACAAATATTTTACAAACAAATTGCCTAGAAAATGCGTCATTAGGCGTCTAGAAAGTTTTTCAAAACTTTAAGGAGATCTAATTTTAAGGCCCATCCCTATCTATATATATCATATTCCTTTACACTAAAGACGGACATGAATGATTGAGTCGTTATTTACCGGTTACAGCTAAAAATATCAGCATTTTTTGCCACTTCTGCAAAATTAAATTGAAACTTTTAGCATACAATTAAAATCTAGCATGGCATCTTTTTTTAACGAGTTATGTCATTCCTTACGCGCTTGACTAAACTTTCAATTCAACCTTGAATTATTAGCATTTAATGGGTTCCGTTGTCTATAACTATATCATTATAAGTATCATCTCTGCTCTGTACTAAAAGGAATATCAATTGCCGATCTGACTGGCTCAGAACATGCCTGATTTGAAAAAGTCTTATTGATTATATTTCTTGCACGAGTGTGATTAGAACGCATATTAGGCACCTCTGGCATAATCCATAATTTTGAAAATGTTTTAATACGTATATAATTATAGAGAGATAAAAAATGCTGAACGTTGCCGTCAAAAATAATTGATTTCTGTCTGCCACACTGTTCCTCATTTTTCTTTGCATGAAAGGACAGCAGCCGTTAAACTCTTCCAGTTGCCCTTATTTATTTGGTAGTTTATGACGCGCTCCTATGGCAACTTTTGATTATGAATGCAAATATACCGTGATAATCCCCGAGGTGAAAACGATTAGAATTTCATAAAGAAAGTCGGGTGATTTTGTGCACGCACATTTTGTGGACCAGCCATCAACGCTTTCACCTCTGCCATCATGGTCGTTCGAACTGTACTTATAACGGTTCTTCTTTCTCTTGTTGGTAAGATTGTGTACTCAGAGATTCTTATAGATAAACCTGATGAAACACAACCATATAACAGTACAACCCTACCGTTTCCGCATATGACCATACAAAGATACGAGACCTTGTTTTTATGAGGTTGGCCATCGAAAAAGGAAAAAGCGAATCAAATCGACGGACACGGGGGCAGGGTACGGGTTTTGAATATTTCACGATCAGTACCTAGATATGTCGTTATTGAGTTTGAAAACCCCAGCTCAGTCCAAGTAGAGTTTAAGCAAAGATAACGTTTATGTCTACCCAATATTGAAATTCGCTGAGGGGTTTGAAACTGAATTTATTTCATGTCTTAGCCGTAAGCAAAGTTTGAGCCGATAAATATTTGTTTTATTGCAACTTCGCCAAGCTCCAATCAGCTTTTGAACATTTTCAACTGTGCTGAACGAATGATTAAATCGATTGATGCACGTAAGTATTTTATTTAATTTGCATCAAAAAACTCAGTTGTAAACAACTTAGGTTAGAAAGTAAATGCATGCGGAGTACAAATGTTTCACCTTTCAGTTTTGATGGTGGACAACCGAAAAAAATTTTACAGAAGTTCCACTTTAAGAAACTAAAGTGATGACATGTGATGACAAATTGTCTCTGAGATGTCAGCCGGTTATAGTCAGAAAACGTCATATAAACCCTTCTAATTTTTGTTGGGTCGACTTAAAAAAATTTAGAAGGGTCTAGAAGGGTTTGTATGGAGTTTTCTAAGTATGAATGGGCTCCGATCTCAGAGACAATTTGCCCCGAAATGCTCATTGTTGGCAAGTAGGCCTCTTGGACATTGATCTTTCAGAATATCCTGACAAATCCCATGATTTCAGAAATTTCATTTTTATGAAGTCACACTTTAGTACTCTATGCTCGGTAGGAACATCTTAATTTTGTCAACAAGTTTGAGATCCGGATCCCGACATCCGCGTGAAAATGGTTAAGTGTGTTCATCAGAGCTCAATTAACCTGGCTGCATAAAAATCTATTGATAGCAGGTTTGTAGTTAATTTAGCCGTGTAACTTTTGATGATGATAACTAAGACAAACTTGTGACATACGTACATCAACCTTTGGCCTGGCTAGTACCTCACGCATGCGCACAACCATATCGACACCTTAACTTTGTCTTAAGTACCCACTACATGTATTTCAGTCTTTCATTTGTAAAATTATGGATCACTTTTCATTTGTTCATGTTGCACAGCCTTCAATGCCTCCGCCGATAGAGAGGTGGGCGAGGGTGGATTGAGAGTTAAAATTTTAGGGAGGTCAGGAAAGATAAGAATCGCGCGAGACGCCGGCGGTAGGAGCAGGAATCTCTCAAGAGATGACGGAGTATTTGTCGTGGAAGTAGATCATGTAAAACAAAAGAATGCACTGGGAAGCGATGTTGGTAAAAAAGTGGAAACTCTAGCCAACCAAGACTTCTCCATCGATGTTAACAAGAGCGCCAACTACCAAGGTAGGTTACGGTTTAATCTGAGACGATTAAACAATGTACTTAACAATTATTCCTCGAGCCCGAATGGGCTCTGAGTCAATAGCCCATAAGGCCGAAGGCCGAATGGGCTATTGACTCAGAGGCCATGAGGGCGAGAGGAATAATTGTTTTAGTAAAATCCCACTAGTTGGTCAAAAATTTTAGCTAGTTTAAGCTAAACTTTAATCCTTTTTTGCCGCCAAAAAGCCCGCGATTTTCGCTACTAGTGGGCTATAACATATAGCTTAGTAGTAGCTCAACCAATCAGAACGCAGCATTGATAATAGACCACTAGCTGGATTTTAATAATAAATAATGCGCGCGCGTTCTGCGAAAGTGAACGTGCTCTTCGTAGTGGAATGAACATCGTATCCTAAGCGGTTGAAAAAGAACCTGAAAAAAATTCAGGATTGAAACTACGCGCTCTGCTGCAGAAAAACTCATCTTTCTCTTACTGACGTTACGTACTACACTATATACAATTGCCGGTTTTCAGTGTCACGCCATTCAAAATAGATCAAAATAGAAATCAAAACCGTTCAATAGATAACGTCCAGAATCTGGGAAATGAAAAGAGGTACAAAAAATCCTAACCCGATAGTTTTTTAGTTTGAATTTTAGTGACGTCATGTGAAAACCAACAATAAACAAGTAAATTTCGTGGCATTATTATCGTATTATTGTTACAATTATAAAGGAAAGAAAGGGACATGTAAAGAATCAACCATACGAGGACACATAAAAAATCTGAGCCCCAGATGGGATTCGAACCCACGACCCCTCGTGTTCTAGATCTGTGTCCTCATATTGTTGATTCTTTACATCTCCCTTTATTTCCTTTATAATACTAATATCAGTGGCATAGACTGTTACAATTATTATCATTATTATTATTATTATTAAATTATTAATTATGTTCTAGATATCCATTCAAATCACGTGAGGTTTCAGAAGACTTCACTTTCGCTGTAGCTGGTCTACATCTGCACTCATAATTTTACTCATAGTTTTTTTCTTAGTAATGCTTGATTTTCCTATTCCCACTCTTAAATTATTCACAATTGTAAATAGTTTTCTATCGTGGACATATATTTAGTTTTTAATTAGTATCTTAGAATTCTGAATTGTGAAGGGGTTTTGCCGGAAATTTGTATTTACATAATATTGATGTGGACGTTTTATTTTTATGAATATTTTACAGAAGTTTTGTGTGTAGTTTTTATAAGATTTTTAGAAGATTTTAATAAAGAATTTATCACTTATTGAATTATTATTATTACTGTTACAATTATTATTATTGTTATCTTTGTTTTCTGTTCAATTTATGTAAACAAATACATTGAATTTCATGAAAAGAAAATGTGCCCTGTTGTTATTCTTGGCATACTCATGATTTCAGCTCCCTCTTTTTTTTTTTTTTTTTTTTTTTTTTTTTTTTCTTTACTAGAACAATGTTTCAGCACTGCGTACTTTCAATTGATTATATTGACGAAACTAGGCGGTCTACAAGCTCATCTTGTTTTTCATTTCTACAGGGATTTCAATGTTACACACTTCCTCTCTAATGCATTTCATTTTATTATTATTATTATTATTATTATTATTATTACTCTTTTCCGTCTATCTATTATTTGTTTATCTATTTATTCATTTACTTATTATTGATTTAAACTAGGTGTTACCGCCGCCCACATCAACTTGAAGTCTTACCTGGACGCTCCAAAAGCCCATCTCATTGTGGACATTTACATCTTCCGTGCAACTGGAAATGTCACTTTTGGCAATGAAACAACTGAAGTGCAGAACGGCACCATGAAATTCTTCGTGGAGGTGAATTTTTGCCTTCTTTTATTTGTGTCAATAAAGGTTATAGAAAGGAAGATAAACAGTTTCTCTCTGGGAGGGGGCAATTTACGCCAGCTGTGTGCCGCGGGTTTAATCAGCGCTTTCCCTAAGAGTATGCATAAAATTAAAAAATGACGTCCTCTTTAAAGGCACGCTGAAAAAGAGATGATTGCCAACATCGATATTTATGAAGCAATGGCAAAATTGGATTGTTTTGTAATATTGTTCTTAAACAAGCAGATTAATTCTTCACAGCATGTTATGTTCAATTCTTTTGGGGGACCCCAATGTCAAAGACTGAAATATCGTTTTCCAGAGCGCAACCTTGGATCTTCTTCGTTTTTTGATATCCTATGGCTATATTACAGTAACTTTAATTTTTCTACTGAGAGAAAAAGTCTTTTTTCTCCCTGCTTCTTTTTCTTAGTAGTGTAGGAGTGTGACTCTTTACCCCTTAAAATAAGAAATTGTACTTGATAGTACTCAATAAATTGAAAGTCAATTTTAAAAGCTTCGTTTCATTTAGTTGATATCTACTAGCAAGAGCCTTTAGGACGCCCTCTACTAGCTAGTTTTCGCAGTCACTCACCCTTCGTTATTTAATGGTCGCATTGCAAACCACTGTCGTGAACAACATTTCCTAAACTAAACTGGAAATCAAACGGTTTAACATTGAACCTTAAAAAATGGCAAAGAAGATGCACATGGTGCACCGGTCATGGCATAGTCTCCGCTATAGAGATACGACTATGTTATGGCTTAGACTGGTCAATCAAATCTGATCTGCGAATGTAATCTTATCTATGACCATACGGAATGAGACGAGGCTATTTCATTTGTCAATTTTGTAGATTAAAAACTATACTTTCTGCGATGGACAAGCCATACCTTCCATCTGCAGAGCAAATGAAGTGGGAAAATACCTTGAGGTGGCAATTGTTGTGAAGGGCAAAAAGGGAGAAACGCCAGAAGCGGAGAATGAGGCCGATAGAAAGAACAGGGAGGACCGCCGTCCAACTGGCAAAAGACCCAAAGGAATGCGATGTCCCTTAACTGAGGATAGATGCCCCAAGACTTACCGTATTGGCAACGACACTATCGGATTGTCCAAAGAGGTAAGAAGAGAACATTTGTTTCACGTGCACAACTTCAGTCGTGATCGAGCCTCGATAACCGCGCCAATTTTGAAGTTTTGCTTGACACTTAGGTTGATCTTGTGTCAAACTGCACTATAAGACTGTTCTTGGTAGGCTACTTTTACGCGCGACTCACTTTTATTTAAGAAAAGAGGGGGAAAAAGGAAAACCTATTCAAACGAAAACTAGAAAAATCGTGAACAACGTGGTTTAGTGTAATCTGCTTCACAACCGTTCTTTGCGTCGTCACGCAAGGCTCCTCCCCACAAACGTCTACTAATCGAACCACATCCATTTCCGCATATCATCCATTCAGGTTTCAGCTTCAATTTTCTAGGTGTTCGTACCACGTTTACGGTACGGGGGGAGGGGCGTTGCGTGACGACACAAAGAGTGACTAGGTTTAGTGCAGTGGTACCTTTTTAAAGGTAAAGCTACCTCTAAATGTATGAGATCGTGGACTTCACGACAAGGGCATTGTTAGTGGCTACACACCGTTACCAGGTTCAAAATCTGCTGTGAATGCTGATTTAACTAAATTCATATTGTATCAGCAGTACAATTTAATAACAATGGCTGTGGTGTAGCGTTACCTTAAAAACGTTCCTTTTTTATGAACATCCATGAAATATTGGGAGATTAGACCTATTTTTACAAAAAAAAATCAGCCAATTAATCAGTAATTAGAGTTTTTACAATTTCTTGTCTCCTCCGACGAGATTCATTTACTGATATTTTAGTGCAAAAATGACGGCGAGAATGTAAAGATGCCTGAGGGATACCCCAAGTTCGTGAGGCAAGGCAGCAAAAACAGGTTCATCTTCCGATGCAACAAGTTTAACAGAACCGTCATCTTTGACCCATACGTAGAAGTGAGTGAAGGGGATGACACAGATGACAGTCCGATGCCTCCTACAGACAGCAGTCCGATGGTTCCTACTGAGAACGCGACTTCTATCCACGTGAATGTTTTCATGTTTATAACATTGCTTGCCACTTGTTTCATGTAAAATGGTGAATGGTGTGAGGGTGTCTTTCTTAGCAATTATCGGATGAGGCTGAGTATGATATGAAGTATTATGCATTCAAAAGCCGAAGTCAATAATGTTGTTATTATTCAATTTCATATTTCATGTTTATTGCACTGCTTGTCTCTGTGTAAAGTACAATCATATGTAAGAGTTTCATCAAGTATTTGGATATCGAATGGAGCACTCCTTGTAGCGTTTGACGTTAAGTGATAGGTTCATTGTAAACATGGTAAAGTAATACAGGTCTCTGGGACTTACGTACCGGACCCAAGTCCCTGCAGGCCCCAGAAACAAATTTTAGCTGGCCAGCACCGCACTCGTGAATGCTTTCATTGTGTCTAGGTTTATTCGTCTGGAATAAAATTCGCTGAAAAAACTTCAAATGTCTCTTGTTCTATACAAAGGTTTATAGGCCGGTTAAACTTGTAAGGGGTGCTGCATTGTCCCAAAAGTGTCACGATGTTTACAACACTGTTGCAACATTGTCAACATTGTCCCGCATTGTCGCGACATTTGAGAGACGATGTTCGACCGATGTTCAAACCGAATACTCATCAACATCGTTACGGTAGTGAAATGTTGACAAGACAAGGTTTTCCTCATATTCACAGTTATTATTGCAACATTTTGTGCTACAAACAAGAAGTGCCCAAAAAGAAAGCTTATGCTACTTTATACAAGTGTTTATGTATGTGACAACAGCTGTTTAGGAACCACTTTGTTAGCAAGTATTGTAAATTACAGTAAACGGGTTGTCGTAAGGAAACGGAACGGTGCAGTTTTGCTCTCCTGCAGCCAGTGACTTGACAGATGAGATTGGATGTCAGCAAGTAAGGGCGCACTATGTAGCCGCTTCAGTTCATGTTTGATCTCATCTCGCCTACCCAGACCCAAAACTGCAGCAAGTCAGATAGAAGACACCCGCACTTACTTCCCCAACTCTTTTCGAACAAATCAGTGGGTTCTTTTCAAAAATTATGTTTAAGGGTGAAGGAGACAAGGCCAACGGCTTGATGTTCTCGGCCAATGACACGATAGTCTCCACTGAGAGAGGATTTTTCACAGATACCTACCCTCGGTGCCAGAGACTTTTCTGGCTTTGGCCTACGGCCGAAGATGTGTTGGCCTTCAGCCCACACCGAAAATTCCCGCCGCACGAGAGAAAAACCTCTGGTACCCAGGGTAACAGATACCATGAACTACGTAACCAGGTTTTTAGGACCTACAGTTGTGATCCGGCCGTGGTTTGAACTCACGGCCTCCTCTCCCTTAGCAGGTCACCAGCACGTTTTCAAGTGAGCAATAAATCAGGTAGCCTTAAATAACATCAAATAGTGACAATCAAAAAGTCTATAAAAATAATTGTCTGCTTAAAATTTGCAGATAAAAGCTTCACTTGCTCAGTGCGTTAGCTGTCTAGTGAAGGGTTGTACATAAATGAAATTTGGCGCAACTACGTAACGGCGAAATGCATTAGACCAAAAGATGACCATAAGCCGCATCGAGTACGCAATTGTGTTTCAATAGTCGACCTCCTGTCTTTAACTGAATTCCTGCAAAGCAACCCAAGTTTTTAAAACAGGAAAAGAGAGGCTCTTATTGACCAGGGGGCCCCGCTAGCTAACCTTACTATAATTAAATTAAGCCAGAAGTTGGAATTCCGAGGACTTCAAGCCGAAAGTGACGAGTGGAAAGTATGCATTGCAAGGTTCATCCAGAGCTCTTTTTGACTATATTTCCTTCCAAATAGACTACCTATACGTTATGGTTTGATGAAAAACTGCAGGGCCCAGTTGTTCGAAGGCCCATAACCGTTAACCCGGGTTCCTCCGCTCTATTGTTTAAAAGCATTTTCTTGGATAAATTTCTCTTAACTTTTTAGAGCATCCAATCATCAAGTTGAAGACAAAAAAGATTAAACTGAATTTGGTTTTTAAGCTTTCATTTCTGAATTCAAACTTGAAAAGTTCTGAACAGGAACGTTAGCTGTTAATTTTGTAAGAGTGTCGTACGATAGAGCACGCTTTGTTTGTTTTTTGAAGACTTGAAGAACAATTTTCTTTTGTTTCTGGTATGGTGATGTATGCTAACGAAGTTGAAACAAAGGAAAGATATAAAATTACCTAAAATAAAAAATTAACTACAACACATACGATGATGTTTTTTGTTTTTTTTTAAATCATTACTTTGGAAGAAAAGCCAACCTTACCTTCTGAATGCTCACTTGTTGAATTTTAATACCGACCGAGTTTCTTTTTCGCGTGGACGATTACAATTAACGGAAAGCATCTTGATTTAGCAGATCTTTTCTCTTCCTGTTTGTCATTTCTGGAATTACAAAAATTGACTGCTAGTAAGATTGAATATCAATCGACTGGCATAGAAAATTAACCACAGAATCATGATTTATTTGCTTAGCACACTGCTATAATACGAATTGCGACTGAATTAATCGTACTTTACAATTCAAAAGCCCCCTACCTTTCAAATTGTTCATCTCTTCAAGTAAACCCATTATGCCTGATTTACATTTAACAGTAAGGCAGATAGCAAGATAAACCGGCTTGTGAAAGAATATTCCTTTAGCCAAAACATTTGTTCGCAGCCTTGAGGACTTTCTTGTCTTCCTCCACCAAATCAATATTTCTCATATAATATTTGAACGTGGCGCCAAAAGAAGTCTCTTGATAATTAGAAACCTGTTTCCTGATTGGCTATTAAAATGCACGTGCCAATATATAGCGAGAAACAAGGGTTGTTTACCATTTACAAAATTGTTGGCTTCACACTAGAGCTTTCAAGAATAATCTAAGTGTACTTGGAACCTACTTTGAGTGTGAAGGGGTAAAATGTACCTACTTCAACTTTAGTTGGTGATAATGGCAATGCTCGTAGTTTACAGACGTCGAAGGTCGCCCCCAGGTACGGTCTACACCCGACTTGATAACACACTTGACCAATAGGAAATGGAAGCCATCTGAGAGCGATGTGCACGACGTGGAAGTGCAGCGGTTCAAAATTCTAATGAACGGTCAAATAAACATCCATGTCTCTATTAGCTAAGGCCTGGCGCAACCGTCCAACTTTTCATGAGACGAACCAAACTCTAATTTGTAATTTGGGTCGACGTAAATGAAGTTCAGTGGCGGATGCAGACTTTCAGATAAGGAAGAGGGGTGCAGGGGGCGGTCATCCAGACCCTGAGATAAGAGGGGAGGAGCCCAGTCTCAAAAAAAATTTGTTTCCGGCCCTTTGGACCTCAGTTTGGTCTTAAAATAGGAGGGTCGGGCCTCCCGGGCCCCTCTTCTGGATCCGCCACTGAAGTTAAGATCTTCCACTGGGTCAGACGTCGAACTTAGGACGTGTCGAACCAATCAACTGAATCAGACCAAAAACTTCAATTTTACCAAATTTTTCCACAAACATGCCAACGAGGCTAAATAATCATTATCATTCATTTTGTTAATTTTTTTTAGTTTAGTCCTTCGCATGCTTTTTTGTGCCAGAGACGATCTTCAGACGTTTTATCCTGAAGCAGACGGATAGAATGTGTTGGACGATCCAAACTCATTCAGACGAACTTAACTGAGCCAGACGTCGAACCTTTCATGAGACGAACCGAACTTAGTGAGTTAGTTCATGAAAAGGTTCTGAATAAGTTTGGATGATCATCCATCATAATTATTCTCTCTGTCTGCTTCAGACGGGATAAAACGTCTGAAGATCGGCTCCGGGAAAAACGTCTATCTTCACATGCGACGAACTAAACCAATGAATTAAAACTTTGTTTGATTATGCTATTTAACCTCGTTCGGGGAAAAATTTATTAGAATTACTTTTTTGTCTGTTTCAGTTGATATAGAATTGGTCCGACTCCACTTATGACTTCGTCGCTTACGATCTAGTGAAAACCATATTTTCGGAGCCGGAAGCAGAAGCGGAAGGATAAACCAATCACAATGCACGTTCCTGAAACGTGCTAAATCACCAGTAATAGATTTACATTTCATTACATTTATTATCTAATGTTTAGATGGCATACGTTTAAATCGCGTGTTAAAAAATCGTCAATTTGCTTTTTACCCCCGAAAAACCCGGTAAAATGAAGAAAACAAAAAAAATTTATGGGCACCCTCATTATAACGGACAGTTTTCTTTCTCCTCACATTTTCTCTTAATACGTACCCTCAGCGTCCATATTAACGAGGATTGACTGTACGTCACAGACAATTATTTTAAAATCTGCTGTTTCGGCAGCCTTGAATTGATTCTATTTGGCATGAGTTTTGACGGCTTGTTTAACTCTTCAATAGTTAAAAATAAAGTTAGGGGTGTTTTCTAAAACCTGACCAGTGACAATTCTAAATCAAAATGTGCGATTAAGGGTGGAAATGCAGAAGAAGACTACGTCAAGGATGCATTTTCCCTACCTTTTTCTCCCTAGTGAAAAAAATAATAAGAAGAAACGTACACTTCAGGCTTTGCACATGACACTTCTTTATCTTTTTCTAAATGGGTTACTTTTGCGCTGAAGACTTAGTTCTGCTCCGAACAACGCCTCTGGCCTTCGAAATCATATTAGCAACAATGCAGCGAAAATCTCGACTGAAAATTAAAAGGGTTGATCAGGAACCATACTCGGTAATGGCTCTTGGTTTAAAGAGAGAAATCGAAGACAATGGTTTTCAATTCTTGCTTTTTTTTTTGGGAGGGGGAGGAGGGGTGGTAAACAAGATGCAATATGGTCTCGCTGAAGATAGTAAATTGACTGTTGCTAGTCGAAATGTTGGTTTTGCAGTTGGGACCCGGTAGGAGCTGAACGGAGACAGGAAAATTGAAGTGTCCTCTTAAAATCCATTATTTTCATTGCAAAGTCCACTAATTAAATACCCCTTGCATCCGAATTTTGCAGTTTTTTAAAGAGATATATTTATCAGGTCGACTCAATTTGACGGTCGGCATAACTTATTGACACAAATTTAATTGCGGGCATGACAACGGATAAATATTTTTCAAACAATTTTCTTAGGAAATAAGTCATTTTTTTCTCAGGCTTTATGTTCTCAGTTTCATAAACTCTATAGTTCATAATTCTATATACTATAAAAGAACTTGAAAGAGGTCGTTTCCAACGGTTATAGATTCCAATAACGACACAGACAAGCAAGTTTCGCCTCATTCTGCAAAACTGAACTGAAAGTTTCGGCATTAAATTACAATTATGGCATGATTTCGTTGCTAAACAGTTACGTCAACGTTCTTTATGGGCTTAATAACTTTTTTCAACCTTTGATTATGACTTTAAAACATTTACTAAACCATTTTCAATGTTTGTTTTCTCGTTAGTTAGATGTTATTGAAAATCGTTATCCGTTGTCTTTTGTTTCCTCCTTGCTCCATTGTTAAAATTTATCAGTACCAAGCTGATTGGTTCAGCAGGCAGAACATGTTAGAGTTATTGAGTATTTCTTGCACGAATGTGATTAGCACAGTTTTGAAAAAAAAGGTAAAAAGGTACCAGCATCCCTGGGGCATAATTCATGGATTTGAAAAAATCTTCATTAAACATGCCGAAAGTTGATTTCAAAACTTAATGATTACAGTCTTTTGGGCATGGTTACTCGGCCACAGTTCCTCGTATTCCACTTAATGAGCGGGCAGCTGCGCGTAATTACTTTTTTCTACTTGTTTCTTTGTAGTTTTTGACGCACTCCTATGGCAACTTAACGTTTGATAGTAAATGCAAATACACTTTGGATAATCCCAAGGGTGAGAACGATTAGAATTTCATAAAGAAAGTCGGGTTATTTTTATGCACGCCCATTTTTTGGACTGACCAGAGATCAGTTCAGTTATTCTACCTCAGACTGGCATCCACCATGGTACTTCGAGCTGTTCTTCCGTTAGCTCTTCTCGCTCTTCTTGGTAAGATTGTATACTCAATTATAGATAAAACCAAAGGGTATCTAGCAAAAGGTGTCCTGCAGTTTAATGTTATATACTAGGCGCCGCTTCATTTGTTCTTACCGTTTTACAAAGAGACCTCTTTTCCATGAGGTCCGTAATCTTCCAAAAGAAATTAAAACGACCGACAAGGAGATATAGTTTTGAATATTTTGCTTAATTGAGCTTAAAAACCTCAGTTCGAATTGAAAACTGAAAAAACCAACAAAATATCCATGACTACTGGGGGAAAAATTGAAAGGTACTACAGAGTTTGAAAATTAATTTATTTGATGTCTAAGTCGTTAGCAAAGTTTGGGCCGATTGAAATACAAGTGTTTTACCGGAAACTTCTCCGAGCGACTCCGAACTGTGTTGAACGAATGGTTAAATCACTTGATGCACATAAGAATTTTAAACTTGCTTGTAGCAAAGTTATCACATCGTGCAGCGGAGTGTAAATATTTAACCTTTACTTTTGATGGTGGACAACCACATTTAATACTAAGAAATAAATGATAGCACCCTGCAAAATCTCTGCCAGTGAGATTTCATTTCAGTAGGAGCATCATAGAGTTTTGTCCATAGATTTTCCGAGGTAGATTGACAATCATTCCCCCATGTCTTCGACTGTCTGTCCTCGAAAATGACTACAATTAATACTTCAGAAATCACTTTTTTTTCCGAACATATTTCCGTAAAAATAAGTTATTGGCCTGACCGACATTATTATGTATGTGGCATTTTGGAGTCTTTAAAATTCTAACGACAAACGGATTTAGAGTAATCTTTTTGCATAAATAGAATGAACCAGGTGTACCGTATTTTTGCAATAACAACCATTTGACAATGTCTCGAATAAAATTCTTTTAAATAAAGCCTTGCTCTTATGTGCCGTCAAACAACCTACAATTTAGTCCGCGGTTAAAGTTACTCAGTGTTCAGTCTGAGAACAGAAGTCGCAGCAACACAGGTTATCCCAATCGTTTTTCAGTCTGAAAAGGTAACTCGAGTTCAACTTTCCAGGCATTGCGGTGGTAAAGACATTTTGCTTACTAATTATGTTGGAATAATATCCCAGACAAGACCGACTGTTATGCCGAAAGTAGATCGGAGGCATATGCGAACCAGGGTTAAGTCTATTTCTTAATCATTAAGTCTATAGTCTATTAAGTATTTCTTTGCGTGAAACGAAAGGTTTGGGAAAAGACTGAATTGTCGAAAGCGAAATATATGATATTGCTCCCAGGTAACACGTATTTAAGCTTTGTAAGCTAAAATTTTTGCATTAAAATGAAGTAGAAGGTTTGCGCATTCAAGCATTCAGTATAACAATATTCTTATAATCAGTTCCCAACGCACTAATTGAATGACTCTTGTCTTAAAAAACAAAGCCTGCAAGTGTCATGTTAAACATCTGGGTGTTTAATCACACAGTAATCTCTCTGTAAGAAAAGACCACGGGACCGTTTCTGGAGCGTCTTGCTGATTAACATAAATTGCAGGCGCACCCAACGAGGCCGCAAATTTTGTGAAAGCTTTAAAACATCGTCTCTTGTTCGATTTTGGCCTTTCAACGCTTTATCAAGTAATTTTTTTCGTAAACTGGCACAATTTCATCCTTTTCTTTTTCCTGAAATTAGGCGATAAAGAATGTTGATAATTTAATTATTTTCTTAAAACGTTCCTTCGTTAGTCCCTGTTGGATATGAGATTGATTATAATCCTCCTCTGCTTTTCGCGCGCTCGTTGACGCACGCTCACAGCATAATTGTTAAATATCCCTAGATAGTGAACTAGACAGATTGCATGAGACATTTTGACCAGCTTGCGTTGCAGTGACGTAACTTAACCTCGGTTAGTAACGGTCTGCGAAGCAACGCCAATATCCTTGTCCTGGCCCCCAGAGGGCTCGACTAATAATTGGAAATGCGTTTCGAATTTTCCTTCAACCTGATTCATGGCAGGTCTACAATGACTTCTTAAACTCAAATCCTGGTACACACAGGTGGGGGCGCAGAACAGTGATTTCGACGCTGGTTCGAAGCCGGACTAAACTATAAGTTTTGGCGTTTGTTTCGCAGGCTAATTTTTTCTTGTTCACGTTGCATAGCCATCAGTACTTCCGCTGACAGAGACGTGAGTGAACGTGGAGTGCGAGTTAAAGTTCTAGGACGTTCAGGAGGGTTACGATTAGTGCGAGAGTCGGGAAAGAGGAGGGATATCTCAAAAAATGACGGTGTTCTTGTAGTGGAAATAGATTATATAAAACAGAAGAATGAGCAGGGAAGAGATGTTGGTAAACCGGTATCAACTCTAGCCAACCAAGACTTCGCCATTGCTGTTAACAAGAGCGCTAACTATCAAGGTCAGTTATTGTATAATCTGATTCTATAAACAATGTACTGAGTACTAGATGTTCTGTGAGTGTGATCGTTGCCTTTGATGTTAATATAATATAGCAATTCCGACAAAGGTTGTCAGACAAAATGTACATACAACAATCCCGAATAATAATATGGAATATGAAGATGTAGCTGTGGAACCTACTTTTTTTCGCTTACCTTTAGCCCTCGCAAAGATACGTCCATTGCCTATCAAGCCATTCTTTCAAATTTCTTTGAAGAAAAATGTACTCAAAACCACCCACAATAACTTTAGGGATTGTCGCGTTCACTTTTTCCGATAACCTTTCTAGAAATCACTGCATCTACACACGGCTGACTCAACGGCAGAAATTTCAACTCCCTTTCATTAACATGACATGCAGTAAATATTTCGATGGCATTTATTATTTTTTTTATCATCATCATTATCATTATCATTAATTTTTTGTCATTGCTATAGGTAACAGGTAAGAGGAAAAGGCCCAAACGGCCGGAGCTTTTCCCGGTTTCCTTCGCATGGAGTATTGAAACTCCCTCCCTGGATGGGATGCTAGTCCATCGCAGGGTTACCCCCCAGCAGTGTCGTAGGTACCCAGTTACAGAGCGTCTTCACTCACGTGGCATCATACCTCGCAAATTTCGTACTGGTACCATTCATTCCTGTCTCTTAATGTTTCTCCTCCCCTTTTATTTATTTATTTATTCATTTATTTTACTTAATTATTCATATTTTCATTTATTGCGTATTGATTTTTACTAGGAGTTAGCGCCGCCCACATCAACTTGAAGTCTTACCTGGCCGCTCCAAAAGCCCATCTCATCGCTGACATTTACATCTTCCGTGCAACTGGAAATGTCACTTTTGGCAATGAAACAACTGAAGTGCAGAACGGCACCATGAAATTCTTCGTGCAGGTTGATTCTCTAACCCCCCACCAAACACACCCTATGATTTGCTTTAGAAAATGTTGTAGAAAGGAAGGGGGAGTTTCTGTAGGGGCTGGTGGAGGAAGGAGCGCAATTTACCAAAAGAAAACAGTCAACTCCAGCACATTAGCAGTTGGTTACTTTTGCCCTAGTTTTTTAAGACTTAGGGAGACAAAGTGTTTAACTCAGTCTTTTCCCCTTGAAATAGTAAACACTATTAAATGTATTAGAAGTGCACGCGCAATGATACTTTAAGCAAATAATAGTAGTTATAACTGGTCAGGGCATTAGATAAACTCTATTAAATGTATTAAAAGTTAAGATAAAAAGTTTCTTTTGTAAAAAACATCTAGTTGATACCTATACCAACGCTCTTGATACTAGATAGTTTTCCACAGTTTTTTCTTAAGGTAACTGTCTCATTTCAACCCATTGTAGTGAAAATTATGGCAGACAGTCCAAACAGTAAATTTTATCATCTAAACAATCAAAAATTCTTAAATTGCATCTTCAAAAATGGCATTGTGCATTTATTATTCGAAATTTGTTTTGGAAATTTAAAAAGAGAGCATCGGATATACCATATACTCTCTGTTGCAGTGACTATTGTTATGACTTAAACTGTTAACTAACTCTGAGAAGGTAATCTTATATGATAACCACAGAATATTCCAACAATTCGTTTTGTAGATTAAAAACTACACTTTCTGCGATGGACAAGTTATACCTTCCATCTGCAAAGCAAACGAAACTGGAAAATACCTTGAGGTGGCAATTGTTGTGAAGGGCAAAAAGGGAGAAACGCCCAAACTGGAGAATGAGGCCGATAGAAAGAAAAGGGAGGGCCGACGTCCAACTATCAAAAGACCCAAAGGAATGCGATGTCCTGTAAGTAAGGATGGATGCCCCGTGACTTACAGTATTGGCAACGACACTATCGGATTGTCCAAAGAGGTAAGAAGAGTACATTTTTTTCCACGTGCACAACATCAGTCGTGATCGAGCTTCGATAGCCGAGCCAATTTTGAAGTTTTGCTTGACAGCTGGGTCGATCTTGTGTCTAATTGTACTATGAGTCTGTTCTCGGTAGGCTACTTTTACGCACGACTCACTTTTATTTAAGAAAAGAGGGAACAGAAGAAAACCTATTCAAACGAAAACTAGAAAAACCGTGAACAACGTGGTTTAGTATAATCTGCTTCACAGCCGTTCTTTGTGTCGTCACGCAAGGCTCCTCCCCAAAAACGGATGCTAATCAAACCACATTCATTTCCGCATATCATCCATTGAGGTTTCTGCTTCTATTTTCTACGTGTTTGTACCACGTTTAAAGTACGGGGGGAGGAGCGTTGCGTGACGAAACAAAGAGCGGCTACGGAACAGACTAGTTTTAGTGCGGTGGGACCTTTTTAAAGGTAAAGCTAACAAGGGCATTGTTAGTGGCCACACGCCGTTACCAGGTTCAAAATCTGTTGTAAATGCTAATTTAACTAAATTCATGTTGTATAAGTAGTACAATTTAATAAGAATGGCTGTGGTGTAGCGTTACCTTAGAAACGTTCCTTTTTTATGAACATCCATGAATGGGAGATTAGACCTATTTTTACCAAGAAAAATCACTCAATTAATCATTAACTGGAGTTTTTACATTTATTGTCCCTTCTGACGAGATTCATTTACTGATATTTCAGTGCAAAAATGACGGCGAGAATATAAAGATGCCTATGGGATACCCCATGTTCGTGAGGCAAGGCAGCAAAAACAGGTTCATCTTCCGATGCAACAAGTTTAACAGAACCGTCATCTTTGACCCATACTTAGAAGTGAGTGAAGGGGATGACACAGGTGACAGCAGTCCGATGCCTCCTACCGAGAACGCGACTTCTATCCATGTGAATGTTTTCATGTTTATAACATTGCTTGCCACTTTTTTCATGTAATATGGTGTGAGAGTGCCCTTCTTTGCAACTATTGAATGAGGCTGGGTATGATATGAAGTATTATGCATTCAAAAGCCGAAATCAATAATGTTATTATTCAATCTCATATTTCATGTTTATTGCACCGCTTGTCTCTGTGTCAAGTACAATCATATGTAAGAGTTTCATCAAGTTGGAGCACTCCTTGTAGCGTTTGACGTTAAGTGACAGGTTCATCGTAAACATGGTAAAAGTGATACAGGTCTCGGGAACTTACGTAACAGATCCAAGTCTTTTAGCTGGCCAGCACTGCACTCGTGAATGCTTGCTTTGTGTCTAGGTTTATTCGTCTGGAATAAAATTCTTTGAAAAAACTTCCACTGTCTCTTGTTCTATACAAAGGTTTATAGGCCGGGTAAACGTGTAGGGGGTGTTGCATTGTCCCAACAGTGTCACGATGTTTACAACACTGTTATAACGTTGTCAACATTGTCTCGCATTGTCGCGACATTTGAAAGACGATGTTCGACCGATGTTCAAACCGAATTCTCATCAACATCGTTACGGTATTGAAATGTTGACAAGACAAGGTTTTCCTCATATACACAATTATTATTGCAACATTTTGTGCTACAAACAAGAAGTGACCAAAAAGAAAGCTTATGCTACTTTATAGTGTTTATGTATGTGACAACAGCTGTTTAGGAACCATTTTGTAAGCAAGTACATGTATTCTAAATTACAGTGAACGGGTTGTCGAAAGGAAAAGGGACGGTGCAGTTTTCCTCTCTTGCAGCCAGTGACTTGACAGATGAGATTGGATGTCAGCAAGTAAGGGCGCACTATGTAGCCGCTTCAGTTCATGTTTGATCTCATCTCGCCTACCCAGACCCAAAACTGCAACAAGGCAGATAGAAGACACCGCCCACTTACTACCCCTACTCTTTTCGAACAATGTCGCGGGTGCTTTTCAAAAATTATGTTTAAGGATGAAGGAGACAAGGCCAACGGCTTAATGTTCTCGGCCAATGACACGATAGTCTGCACTTAGAGAGGATTTTTCACAGATACCCACTCTGGGTGCCAGAGACTTTCTGGCTTCGACCTACGGCCGAAGGTGTGTTGGCCTTCGGCCCACACCGAAAATTCCCGCCGCACGCGAGAAAAACCTCTGGTACCCAGGTAGCAGATACCATGAACTACGTAACCAGGTTTTTAGGACCTACAGTTGTGATCCGGCCGTGGTTTGAACTCACGGCCTCCTGTCCCTTAGCAGGTCACCAGCACTTTTTCGAGTGAGCTATAATTCAGGTAGCCGTAAATAACATCAAATAGCGACAATCAAAAAGTCTATAAAAATAATTGTCTGGTGAAACTTTGCGGATAAAGGCTTCACTTGCTCAGTGCGTTAGCTGTCAAGTGAAGGGTTGTAGATAAATGAAATTTGACGCAACAACGTAACGGCGAAATGCATTCGACCAAAAGATGACGATAAACCGCATCGAAGACATAACTACGTTTTAATAAAACTGTGAAAGGTTTGAACCCAGGAGTCATTTCAAAAGGTTGAGTTTGATCGTCCGGGTGAACGTAGTCCTGAATAGGACTGTTGTTGTTAACAGTGACTGACGTTTCGACAACCTGTGCGGTAGTCATCTTCAGAGTCAAAGTGAGTTGTATCACGTCAGTTGATGGTATTATACTCTGGTTATTGATCTGATTGGTCAATTATGTCGCGATGTTATTGGTCGTCTGTCAGTTAAGCCGTGATGTTATTGGCTATGAAGACTCGTAATCAGTGATTGGTGCGTTTCGATCCGTCTATTGTCGCAGTTAAACAGTCGTCTATTGTTAGTCAAATTGTTAGTTCTCCAGTTGTTCTCTCGTAGTTAGTTTTGCTTGATCTCGTCAATAAGTCGTTTGTACGGCGCTGGTAACTGTTGACTACGATTCAGTGGCGTTTGTTCTAAGTTAGTAAACCAGCTTTCTAAAGTACTACTACTAAGTTTAGAACGTCAGTCACTGTCAACAACAACAGTCCTCTTCAGGACTACGTTCACCCGGACGATCAAACTCAACCTTTTGATATGTTTTAATAGTCGAACTCCTGTCTTTAACTGAATTCTTGCAAAGCAACCCAAGTTTTTAAACAAGGAAAAGGGATGCCGTTATTGACCAGGGAGCCCTTAGGATAATTCTTCCGAATTTACATCACGACCAGGCATTGATACTAAGTGGCCTGCCGTCTTTAGAAGACCGTAGGGCTGTTCCTTGCGAATCATTTATGCGTAATTAAAACCATCCAACCCTGTGTTTGGCCTTGCCACTCGGAATGGAAGGGTAACTACCGTTCACTCGTACTCGTTACGAAGCTGCCGGAACTATAATAACAAAATGTGTAAGAGAAAAAGATTGTCAGAATTTGTATCTGTGAAATAATTAGATTTTTTGTCATAAGATAAATGTTAATGATGTGTAATTTGCGCACGATCCTGTTATCCAGCTCTTAGGGGCCTGAATAAACAACTATACCTCTACCACTTTTTTTCCTGTAAAATGTGCGTGTGTGGGTGTATGTGTACGCGTGTGTTTTACCCAGCAGTTATTGGGCAAAACTGAGTATGACATAAAGAATTATGAATACAAAAGCCGAATCCAATGATAGCGGTCTTTCATGACAAAGGTGTTACCATTCAGAATATTTCCATCATAAAAAATGGTTTCGTACTGACCTGAATCGATATATGTCAGGCTGTCGCCTTCATAGCATTTACCTGTTCCTCTGTAGTTTATTCCAGCAGACAGTCGTCAAATAGTAGTTGCCATTCGTCGATTAAATGTTATTTTTGCTGCTCTTGCCTTTGTCTCTAGGCAGTATCTCAGCTATTTCTTCTTCACATAAGGTGTGAAATCCTCTGCCAGTTTCTCCACTGAGCTCTGCTACACCAGAACAGTTCAGCCACAGCCGCGCATTCTGCTGTCCCCTTTTTTGGTTATTATTTATACAATGAACGTTATTTTGGTCAACAACTCATCTGGTCATGAAGAACTAGTAAGGGAATTGAGGCCAATCGCAAACGAGAAATGTTTTGAATAATTACTTCACAACAGTTTGGACGAGATTGAGAAAAATATCATTGTAAGCACATGAAGTATTTGCTGATACAGAGACAACTAACTGCAAGGCAATGACAGATCTTGATATTTCGCCAAATCAGCTAGCACTACAATTATCTAACTACTGTGCTTGCGTTTGTTTTGTTTTACTGCTGTTTATTTCCAGCTTTTTTAGAAATATGTCACGGTTTACACAAAAAAATGAAGAAAAATACACACGAACAGCACAAAAACAATGGTTTATCTGTATTTCCTGCATGAGCAGAACATTGCATCTGGGTAGCAAACACTCTTGTCCCAGAAGCTACGATCTTTTTGGCCAGTCATGGATAGAAAGTGGCGCAGGCCACATGTTTATGTAGTGGAACCTCGATATAACAAACCTCTATATAACGAAACCCTAGGTATAACGAACGATTTTCTTCGCCTCAGAAATTAGTACAATTTATAAAAAAGAATCTCGATTTAAAATAACCTCTTTATAGCGAACTAATTCTGCAGGTGCCTTGAACCTTCGTTATATTATAGAGGTTCCACTGTATAAGTTGCAACGCTAGCTGTCAACATGACTATGGAAAATGCAGTATGGTTGTTTTATGAAGTGTTTGGTTATCGAATGGTTCACTGTTATACTGTGGACTCCATCATTAAAAAATCCATTTTGTTTCGCTAACTTATAGTTTCATTGTAGTAATATGAACGCTCTTAGCTAGAATGTTAATACTGAACAGGCTGCGGCGACTTAAGCAACGGACCTAAGTGCCCAGGGGCCCGTTTCTCGAAAGTCCCGATAAATTAACACTTGGTTTCAGGTTTCTATAGTTTTGCATCTAACGTGATAAAACTGTAGTTTCTCTGTCTTATTCTTTATATTTTGTTTGAATATTTGATTTCGGGCCCGAAAAGTTACCGGGACTTTCGAGAAACGGGCCCCTGCTCCTGAACAAAAATAGAATTCGTTTAAAATCTTAAACTGCATCTTGTTCTACATTGTTCTGTTAGTATACAAAGGTTTAACGGCAGGTCAAACAGTGGGTGGTTCACTGTCTTAACGTTGTCACGTCATGAAAAGCATTGTTATGTACAGTTGCCAACATTGTTCGACATTGTAACGACATTTGAAAGCCAATGTTGAGTCCAACGAGACAAAGGGAGGCGAGGTCACTGCGTTTGATCTCAACTCACCCACCCCACCCACACCCAATGGAGGATTCAAAAAGTAGTTTTGTCTAGGGCGCCAGTAAATCAATCTTTCTGAGAAAGATGACTCCACTACTGTCTTTAATCTCCGACTGCCTTTTATAAGAGCTGGTGCCATCACTTGCAACTGGATGAACCATTCTGACTCTCTTTTTGAATCTCTCCCTGATCTGTAGACAAAAAGTGATTATCATGGAAATAGACCTCCTTAGCTTGTATGTTTTGTTTTCCTATTGAGGTCCCAGGGGAATTTGACCCTTTGTCGTACAGTTGCACATGCGTACATATGCGTACATGTGCAAGTGAATGAGACGAAATTTGAAAGAAGCAGTCCCCTAGGGTATTATTACATAACCTGTTTTGGGAAAACAAAACACGCAAGCTGAAGAGGTCTATACTACGTCATCTTCCCCATCACAGTTGTAGAGCAATAAAACAATTAGCCTACAGACATATACTACCAAATATTGTGGACGCGCTTATAAAATACGTAAGAACATAGTAATAAAAGTATATTTATTTTTCGCGGCGTGTATCTGACATCTTAATGAAACGTTTTTCTACTCCGATCACTTGCGTGTTGCTAGTCATTATCTTGCAATGGCACCCGATTATTGCGCGGGAAAACTTGTAGATACCAGCTCTCCTCAACCCAATGATAAACAAGATGGCGGACGAAGCGTGCGCCATATTGCTTTTCATATGTTCGCTTGAGGTCTGGGTCAAACTGACCTATGATTGGTCCACGGCCTTGTGCTTATGCTTGTGCTTATGCTTATGCGCTACTGAAAACCAGGCTTTAGGGATTAGTGCTATTTAATACTCCATGGGTGTTCGATTCCAAAAGTTGTACATACCTCACTGTTTCTAAGACAATGAAAAACAAAGATAAAGAAACCCTGAAAAACAAGAAAAGATTGTGCAAACATTAACCACAAAGGACTGCAAAGGACCTCAAACGAATATGCCGAAGAACGTAGTACGATCAGCATTGCCGTATTCTGCTTGCAGAATTTAATATGTCTACATTATTATTTTTGTTGATCAGGTCTTTATAGATCCTACGTTCTTCGACATATTCGTTTGCGGTCCTTTGCAGTCCTTTGTGGTTAATGTTTGCACTTTATGAATTTTTGGGCCGTAGACCTTTGATAGATCCAATGAAAAATTTTCCTGCGAAAATCAAGAAGACACGCGATATGGCGTGAAAGAAACCCGGATATTTTTCATCAGAAAAGGGCGAAACAATGACTAAAAGTTCTTTCGGTGTCGTGTTGATGTCTTGCAGAGTTAATTATTTACGTGGTACGATCAAATGGTCTTGTGGAATTTAATATGTCTACAAGAAGAGATTATTTACTCGTCAAAAAAGGTCATTATTACAAATTTAGTCGAACCCCATTAATACGAACACAGAGGCGACAACAGAAAGTCCCCATATCAGTCATGTCACTTAAGTCAAAGGTAAAGGAAAATATAACGGGATATTACAATCATCAAACAAGACACAACTTTAACTTACACAAAGTTATTTTTCCGCGAACTTAATGCCCGTGGAAATAATCGAAAGTTGCTCATTAAATTTATATATTTCTTAATCAAAGACAGTACTTTGCACAACTCACCTGCTGCCAACACAGTCAGAATTTATGTCTTGACTTGATCGTATGACTCGTCTACTACTATCATACGAAGACTCTTTTACTTTCACAAGAAGTAATGGTATTACCGAACACCGTTGACAATAAAGTTTGCTAATTAGTGAGATTTACTGTCTTTGAGAATTCCGTCGATTGGACTGGTCTCGGTAATAAGCGGGAGGAGTTTAGAGAAAATGAAGGGGCTTTCCCCGGAAGCGAAGAAAACTGACCACTAAAACAAACGTAAAGCGGGATTGGAGTTTATACAAATCAGAAAACGGTTGATAATCGAAATTTTGATTCACCTGAGTGGAGTTGACGATGACGAAAATGTAGACAAAGGCTTTGTGCGTTGAAGAAAGTGCGCCAAAGAGCCACGTGACCCCAAGTAAGGGCAAAAGAACCACGCATGCTCTAATGCCAAGCCTACAAAAATTAGACAGTATTCAAACTTGCTTTTATCAGAACGGAACATCTATTTAGCCTAAACGAAATCCTGCCAAAATAACATTCTTATTACCTTATTTGTTCAGAATGGTTGTCTTTTGCTTGTTGCATTGTCGTCATTTCCTTGATAACGCGCGCCAGGATAAAAAGGTTTATCTGAAAAAAAAACCACTTCTTTCTTAACAACGTGAAGATAAGAAAAACACACACCAGAATACAACAAGTTTTATGCTTCCTTTTACAAAATGAGTGTGAAGCCAAGTTCGCCGGGAGACCAAAAAATGACAAATCCATTTTGGGGTAAATTTGGGCACGAGAGAGGCCTTTATTTAATTAAAGCATATAAAGCTAGGAAACTGCAGGTGCAAGAGAGAATTATCCCAGTAAAGGTAAGGATACACCCGCCACAGCCCAACCTTGAAATCAGCAATTTATGGAGGTCTTCAATTTTTGGGCCATACATAAGAATAAGCTTTACTTACTATTTCCACTGCTACAACAAATGACACGAATATCCAGATCAGATTACCAGAAGAAGACATCCAGCAACTGAAACAAAATAAAAAAATATTGAGAAATTGCTGAATGTGTTGTTTGTTTGTTAATTTAAATTCGATTTAAATAGGATTCCGATTAAAGTGATTATTAAATTGTTTACAGCTTTTTGCTTAAATCCCAAATTGATGATCATTTGTCCAATGACTATTGAAAGATGGACGTCGATATTTTTTGTACTTTAAAGAAAAGTTGAATTACTGTATTTCCTACAATAATAGCCCTCCCTCGATTAACCGCCTCTCTAGATTAATCCGATTAATCGCCCCTCTTGCTTTGTTCTCTTTCTTTTATCCTCTCCCAGTCAAACTATAAATTGACACCCGTTTGGATAACAAATGCTTTCATTTAAACGTTTATATTGACACTGACAATTAACCCTGAAAATCAATCAAGGAACCAAATTTGGAACACTTAAAGAAAGCCAACGTTTAGTTAATTCGATGAGACTACTTTTCGATTTAATGAGATAATAAAACAAAACATTTACTAGAGACGACTTCCAGTAAGCAGTATTTGAAATAATCGCCTCCCTCGAGTAATCGCCCCCTTTGGTGCGCAAAGGAAAATTATCGCCCCAGGCTCTTATTAGAGGAAATACGGTATTTCAAACTATAATATGGAGTGGAGCGGAACTTGCTCTGTCAGTGTTCTAGGCCTCTTGGCGAAGTTTGCAAATAAATAAATGATTGATTGATTGAATAAATAGATCAACATATCAAATGCAGTTCTTACTATTCGTCATTAACAAAACTTTTGATCCCATCCATTATGGCTGCAATAAACAGCGATAACGCGACCATTGCAGCAGGGATACCTGTGCATTAAAGTAAAACAACAAAAAAAAAAATCACATAACATAATTTGATATTTTGCCTAAAGCTTGAAAGGGACTGTGCTGCGGCTGTCTGGTTCATTTTGTTAATGATGCTAACTACAATTTGTAGGTATTCTTATTCGCAGGCTTTGAGAAATTACTCGTGAATGACAAAATTCCACCTTCGTGTCAGACATGTATCTCTCCCAAGCATTGTTTCAAACCAAACGACAAAAATTAACTTTGAAAAACTGTTAGGCTAAGAAGTTTTTAAAAGCCACAATTGCAATCTGTTTCAATCTACTTCAAGTTTGTCCATTTTATATATACCTTTCTTTCACGTTTAAGTGGTTATTTTTATTTTCACTTAATTTAGTGGTGTAGATCCCACTGTTTGAAATTTGATACATGTGTGACACAGCTCAGAGCGTTCAGAAAACTTTTATATGCCGCCTAGCTACCTACGATATAGCTGCCGGTACTGCCCGTGACACCGTTCCGATATGAGATCAGAAATCGCCGGTAACAGAGGCCATGTCAGTCTTTACAGCCGGCATGCCTGCGAAGTTGACTAGAGTTCGACTTCGCAGGCGTACCGGCGGTAAAGGCCCGCGATGTTTCTTGTTAGCGGAGGCGATATATCCTACTATTTTGGAATAGTATTGTAGGTAGTACTGGCGGTTATGTCGCAGGTACCTCGGCGGCATATCAGAACCAGGTTTTAGTCATATATAGCAGACTCCTAGTACAGAATTGACTCGTAACCTAGAAATGCTCAATTACTAAACGCCCAAACTGCAACCTATAAAGTAAACCTACCCCACGAAACTCCATGGCAAATTTTCATCTTACTGCTGACGTTGTAAACTTTAACAACAAACATGTAAAGGTAAACTCCCTCGATCAGCATCCAACAGAAAGCGGCCATGATGAAATACTGAATCATAGCTGCTACTGCTACACAAACGCCCTGGAACAAAGTTGGAGATATTCATATTTACTTGGCATCCAGTCAAACGCCGTTAACTGTACGGACACTGAGGGGTAATAGACCGCGTTCGTATTAACGGGGTGTCAGCATTAAGTGGGTAACATTTAGGGAAAATGCAAGGGCAACTGACAAGGAAAACTTTCCGTAATGGCGACGAAAAAAAATGGTACACAGAAGACGATTTCTCAAAATCTACTCATTAAAAATTTTTTTTGATATTTGGCAGAATTTTTGCTTTTACCGTATTCTAAATAATGAAAGCTTTAAAATGGAAGTTGAACAGACGAATTTTGTAACACATGTAATAATTACAGTACAATTATATTATTGATTATCTAAAAACCCGTCTGTTAAAATTTGATCAAATAAGTTTCAAATGGTAATGATTAATTATAGTAAGCTTTGTGCAAGTTTATAGGAAAATCTAATCAGCGAATATTATGTCAATTGAGCAAAACTGAAATTTTAAGGTTGTATTTAATCGTTCATGCATGTTGCCATGGAAACTACGAAAACATCAAATTTTACATGTCACTCTAAATCTTTCATCAGTATATTTTTCACTTGCCAAGTTTCAGCTTGTGAGCTGCAACCTTTCTCTTGCAAACTGCCAAAACTTTGTTCAGCCACCTTAAGTGGGTGTCCGTGAAGCGGGGTTCGACTGTACTTAAGTAACCCAAGCATTTCCAGAATAGCGAAAGAGATGTATTCCTTGGTTGATTGAAATCGAGGTTAAAGCTTCTTTTACGGCAAAAATAATTTTACTCGATCTGTACCGCTGACTTAAAAATAACAGAAGTGACCGTAAGACATAAGGCAGCGGGTACAAATAGTTGTAAGAATGAAAGAATGTAGTGAATCCCTGTAGGTAGAATGCGAAAAAATATACCTGGCAATTTGAAAGACCACCATAACTTCTGGAGTTCTTATTAAACACTTCCCATCCGCGCTTACAATAGCCGTTCTCATACTAGCTAGAGACGGATTATCCGTCTGCGTGAGAAGAGTTATCCGTTGGATAATTCGCATCAGACAGATAATACGTCTTTATCTAAAAATGGAACGGTCTTAATTTTGTAAGAAAAATGGAACTTTTTTCCGTCAATTTTTAATTCCCATTTTTTGGAAGAACCGTAATCCCGTCAGGGAACTTTTATCCTTGGGATTTATCCGTCAAATTTGACAGATTTTTTGTATTCTTTAAAGAGGATTATCCGTGTTTCAGACGGATAATCCGTCTCAGAGGCATAATCCGTCTCTAGTGTGAATACGGCCAATACCTTGCTTTTGGTCGCGTTTATACCAGTAAGAAAGATAATTTGTCCTGCTCCTAGACAAGTGACGAGGCTTATCCTGATCTGGGATAATGGCGTTGCAAGCTCCCTGTTCAAGACAAATATTTCAACAAATATGAAAATGAACTGATGAATCGACGAAGTATAACAGATGAACAGATTTTACTGGGATTTTAAAGATTAACACGTACGTAAGAAAAGCGTAGCAGATTATTGTCGATGTTATTCCAATGAGTGACAGCGTCAGACCAACGTAAGTGAGAATGTTCAGTATCCTTTCATCTGCCTGTATAGGATAAATGAACAGAGAAGATCTTTTAATGCAAATAATTAGAATGACACCTCGCCCCACTGATGCAAGGTATTCCTGATTCCGGAATGCGGGAAATTTTGCTTGAGGAATCTGGAATCCCGGGCTTCAGAATCCAGAATTCAGGTAAAGGAATCCGAAATTCCGCCAACGATTGGAAATTGGAATCCAGATTCCAAAGAGAAAGCATCAGGAATCCAGTCCCTGGAATCTGGAACCCACAAGGAGGATCTGTCTTGGATTACCTTACATGGAACCAGATAGCAATTATGGCTGGTAGACTTGGCGAGTAAAGTATGAAAACAATGTTACTGAGGAACGACTTTTGTTGAGAGTAGTAAAAAGACTGGATTACAAATGCAGTATTTCCTGATTCGTGCAATTGACGTGACAACTGTGAAGGTGACAAGGTGAAGCAGCGTTAAGATTACTCAACAGGCAATGTTAGAAATTTTTCCTACGAATGCCTGACCTTAGTTATTCTGATTTTACTGCTCCCTGCAGAAGTCGAATCAAACTGCATCAGAACCGCAAAATGAGTCAAGTGATTGCAGCTGCATTCGGTTTTGTCATTGCTCATCCATTTCACTTGACATCCACTTCCTGACCACCCAATAGGGCTAAAAAAAAAACAGAACAGAAGTACATTTCCTTTATTATTGAAAATCCTTTCTACCTAATTCTAACTGTTTTATTTTGAAAGGACTTATTCACTACTTGCACAGACCATAATACACCTTGTTTACCCTCCAGAATTTTGCATAACCATTGTTTCCATTTTCTCTAGGGTATTACACTTGTCCCAAGGCAAATCGAAACGATAGTTATGCAAAGTTTTGTCGGGTAAACAAGGTGCATCATGGTCAATGTGAAAATGGTGAATTTCTTTACCCTTACAAATATGAATGGATTGACAGGCAGAACGCAAAGCTGTCAGGCAGTACACAAAGGGAGGATCGCTTTCTTTCTATTGAAGCCAGACAAATTGAAAAACCCCTCTCTGACTTAAATGGATACAAACCAAACTTCTGCAATCGTGGAAACCTGTAAGTGAAAGAGTTTTCTCTACGACTCACATACGTTTCTACGTCAACCACTGGTTGGTAGTAATGTCTAAAAAGATTTAATTGAATCAGTAAAGAACTTTAACTCTTTTTTGTTACTTTCCACAAATTAAGATTATTTATGTATCTTAACTGACATCATGGCGATAAAAAAAAACATATGACATAAGGTGCTGCCACTGACCTAATGTGCACATTATTTGAAAACATCAAAGCTCGTTAACTACCTCAGCACCGACAATTACTCCCAAAGTTCATTTTTATACTGTCATACTCTTAACATCTTAGAAATTTTGTTGGGTAGGGAAAAGAAAAATAACAACAACAACAATAAACTTCATTTTAATAAACAGATAATATAACAAAAACATTTCCCGCAGCTACCAAGGCTATTAGAGGCGGGATAATGCGTGCAAAATATGAAATTACGACTAAAGCTAACTAAGGCAAGTTTACAGTTTACAAAACTGACTCGGAAGTTTTAGACTGAACTGAATGAAAGAAGGGTGTATTGACTGCCGGATGTTGAAGTCTTCCACAGTTAAGACTTTGAATTCGAGCATGTGACTCTGGTCATACATACCTATAATTCAGGTTTAAGTTCCAAAAGGCACATTCTCTTTTCCCAGTAACCTCCTAAAAAGATATAGAAAGATCTCATGCATTCTCTAACACTTAAAATAATTATTTCTACCATAACTGAGCGAAATTCTTGCGCTTGTTTCTCGAGAGCTATATTCGGTAAGAGTACAGCCTATGGAAATGACGTGATGGTGGCGCAATTTGTTCTTCTCTTTATAGAGCGCGCGCGAGACACTTCAACGGAAATGGACGTCAAAACTGTCAATGTTATAGTGAAAACAAAAGTGGATAACAATTTTCCATGGTTTGTGCTCTTATCGCCTATAGAAATTACGACAAAATATTCAAAACTTTCATTGATTTGAACATCATGACGTCATTTCTACGGCCAGTAAGAGTACAGACCATGGAAAACGGTTGTCAATTAAGCCAAATAAAGGAAGGATTATACTACATTGCTGCAAGACTATTAATTGTTGAGAGTTTAAACAGGGAACTTCGGATAAGGAAGATGGAAAAGAGTGTAAATAATACCCACGGCTACACCAGCGTGATGACACAAAATATCAAGTACTAAAGAGTTAACCAATGGTTTTGCAGTGTCGTGAAAAAGAGAAAAATGGGCTTAAAGGTCACCTTTAAGTTTGAGAACGCCAAAGTCACATTTTTCTGCAAATAATCAGGCTGCGGATCAATTGTTCCTGACATTATGATGGTGTTCAGTCTTCTGGAAAAAAAAAACAATAAAAAAGAGATGTAACAGAGAGTCACTGTATGGGTTTGGTTAAATAGCGGACATCTATTACGTTTTGGATAGATTAAATACCATTTCGACTGACAAAAGCTTGGGAATTTTCTTGATACACAAACAACAATGGTGATTTTACCACGACTCCAGGCTATGCACAGGTACTTGAGACCAGTTACGGTTTGGCAAAAAAAAAATAATAAACGAAATAGATAATGATGATGATAATGATATTGATGCTAATGTTTCAGCTGTTGATGACGTTGTTGAGCTGTTTCGCGTAGTCGGGACTACGGAGAACATTTTGCTCGTATTTTGCCGTCTCGGTAATTCAAGAATCTCGTCTTTTCGTAAAAAAGTTTTCAATTCACCTGCTTTTAGTGAGAGGGAAGCGAAATATGTAAGTTGTGCCTAATTTCTGCTCAGATGTAATCTTTTAATCCACTGTTGTGACTACATTTTTATCTAGCTAAGCTCATATTTAACTTAGCTGTTTATACGCAGAATTCAGATTGACGGCAGAGAAGAAGAGACATCATGCTGGTAATTTACTTTCTCTTCGCACTTGAAAAGTTTCAATGTTTGTTCGAACTGATTAGTGTGCCTTTCTACTTGTGTAACCTTTGTTTATGCGAGTTTTTGTCTCGCATTTGCTGAATGAAAATGATGTAAACATCTTCGAGACAAAAAAAATAAAACCTGTGTAACCAAAACTTTATTCACAAATTTCACCCGACGTAAATTACTTTCTTCAAGTATGGAAGAATTTGTCCATTGTTCTAAAGATAAGATCACATGCAAAACTGACTCGCATTTTTGTGAACTGTGATGAAAAGTAGTAGTAGTAGTAGTAGTAGTAGTAGTAGTAGTAGTAGTAGTAGTAGTAGTAGTAGTAGTAGTAGTAGTAGTAGTAGTAGTAGCAGTAGTAATAGTAATAGTAATAATAGTAATAAATTGCTTTATTTGCATGACCGCATCACTTTACAGTATTGCAAAAGCATGTATATGACAATCAAAATAAAAAACAAAACAGCACTAATAACAATCTAGAAAAATTCGGTTACATTTCTAACAATGAATCACGTATTTTCATGCAGGAGGAGACAAACTTCATAACTAACTTATCTACATGATGTTCCTTCGAATTCATTATCAGTTGTATGCTTTCCGGAGATGATTTCTTGTCAAAGTCAGGTATTATTCGATTGATTTGATTAATAAATGCCTGTCTCTGTACTGAGTATTTGTTACATTGAAAGAGGAAATGAATCTCATCTTCTACCTGATTTGAGTTACATAAAGGACATAATCTATTTTCTCTTGGCAAATGATCGATTCGGTATCGACCACGTTCAATCATAAGTTTGTGATTACTTATTTTAAATTTAACAAAATTCTGTCGTTCGTCATAATGTCTTAGCTGGTAGAGATAATCAGATGTAGAATATTCATCTTTAAAAGTTTTATAAAATTCTAGTTTTTTTGAATTTTCGAGGCTGTGCCGCCAAAAAGATAGTTATTTCTCTCTCATTTCTGTGGTATATCGTCTAATTTTATCATTATCTAGAGATTCAGCATCTAAACTGGTTAGATTGTATTGTTCAAGCATGTTTATGAAATTGGAAAAATGTCCGGAATTATTCATAGAATGTAGATTCTTTGACCTAAGGAAAGACTGTTTGACTATAGAGTCATTATCTTTGTTGTTGAGGTAAACAAAATATTTCATACTTTTCTGATTTATCGGGATAAGCAGCGGCAGTCTATCAAGTTCAGCTCTGCAGGCTATGTTAGAGGCCTTATTGTTAACCTCTAAGTAACGTTTACAGAATTTGAGGTGGATTTTTTCTATTGGGGAGCTATCCCATTTTTTAAAATCTTGCTTGGTGTACATTCCCCATACCTCGCTGTTGTAACTCAAGATTGGGAATACCATGGTGTCAAAAATTTGGGATGCAGTATTAGGATTAAGTTTGTTAAGAATTGTCCGCTTCCGAATACTAGAAAACGCGTGAAGGGCCTTTTCTTTTAAGTGTTCGAGTGCAAGTGTAAAGTTTCCCGTTGGAGTTAAACGTGTACCTAAATAAGTGTATTCTTGGACAATTTCAATTGACTCACTGCCTATGTTGAATTTGATGTCAATAGATTTTTTGGGGCGTTTCTGGAATATCATAATTTTTGTTTTCTTGGGATTAATTTTTAGCTTCCATTTGTCACAATACAAAGAAAGCGCATTTAGTAGTAGTAGTAGTAGTAGTAGCAGTAGTAGTAGTAGTAGTAGTAGTAGTAGTAGTAGTAGTAGTAGTAGAAGTAGTAGTGGTAGAAGTAGTAGTAGAACAACAAAAACAAGAAGTCTTTATTAAAACATCAGACACAACATACGTGTGCCTTTTGAATCAGTAATAGATATGTTTTTTACAAAATAACAAAAATTAGGTTACACAAGGAAATCAAGGAAAAAATATATATATTTCTAAAAAGACATCTATTTACAAAAGCCCGCTTAAACAGTTCGGTTTTCACTCTAGGAAGTATGAAGTCGTGTCCCCTATCTCTGAGGGCCCTATTGCGTTTAGGTCGAAACAAGTCATACAATACATGACCTTTGTAACTAGCGATTCTGTTGAACAGATCACTGTCCCTATTCTTTATCACATCACATCAGACATAAAAAAGATCCTATTTGTACAGCTAAAACGATAGGCACGTCTTATGAAGGTCCCAAAGCAAAATTTTAGATCTGATTGACAGGCAGAGGCCCACACTTCTGATCCATTCTGAAAAAATCCAATTATCAAGGACTGGAAGAGTGCACCGAGCTGGTCTTTAGTGTACCCATAATACTTGCATACTCTAAGAATATACGGACGGCTAACAGCTCCAGAGAGGAAGCTGTCAATATGAACATCCCAATTACAAAGATATTTGTGGAAAGTAATTCCCAAGAATTTCACACAATCTTTCCCCTCAATCCCAGGAACTGGAGGAGGAGCAGGCTTAGAAGTTCTGCGATGCAACAGCATTTCTCATGTTTATGATAAAATCAAAGACATCCTATTGTTGGCTGCCCAGTTCTCGAGGTTCTTAACATCTGTAAACGCTATGTGATAATGATAACAATGATGATAATGTTGATGCTGATGCTGATGCTGATGCTGATGCTGATGCTGATGTTGTTGATGATGATGATGATGATGATGATGCTGATGTTGGTGATGATGATGATGATGATGATGATGATGATGGTAATGGTAGTTATGATCAATATAAAGGAAAGGCTTGATAATAGTCAGTGTAAAGGCATTACGCCAAATAACTAAAGCTAGTTTAACAAAAAAATCAACGAAATAAAGTAAACAAATATAAATAATTGGTATGAATGCCTGGCTAACCTTTGCTCATAAGCTGTGTTCGCCTTGAGTTTATTTGTGGGAAAGAGTTTGTGGATATATTTGTACACAACTCCTAGCAGCACTGAGCCTAAACGATACGAAACAAACGTATTACTGAATGACCGACCAGTAAACACTTAACTACTACGCAAATAGTAAGCAAGGTAGACCCATCGTCTCAAAGTTACCCTTCATTTTCATGTTTTTTAATATTTGTTTTCTTTTGTTGAAGTAATATTTCCACTCACAAAATTATGACGCTAACAGTAAAGCATGATGGACCTTATCTCAATAGAACGCAATGGACTTGAGATAGGTTGCAGCAACGGTAATCCATTCCGACCATTTGTGTTCGATAACGACCGCGTGTGACCGTGTGTGACCGTGTGGGTCTCTCCAAAGAATGACCTAAATTCAACTCTTATTACTCAAATCAACACAAATATTGCACTTCCTCATCAGAATCCTGTCGTACCAAACTTTACTTGAATTGAACGAGAATGGCGCACATTTGAGAAACTTAAATAAATTTAATATTTACGTGCGCCTTTTCACTCCCTGGGTGTACAATAATAGTGGATAAAATAATTCATTCAAAATGGCGCTCGTAAGTTCTATTTCTTTACGCTTTGTGACTAATTTCAATTAAGTTAAAGGATTTTATTTAACCACCCCGAGAATTCCAGAGCATCACTACTGAGAGACTCTCTTGTGATTTATGTTTAAACTTTCTTACCATTTGCAGATACTTCTGAAGGAATCTTTATGTAGCTCCGCCCTTGAGACTCTTCGAAATAAAAGTCGCTTTCATTGTCGTAGAAGCGTTTCCTGATCTGTAGTTCTGTAAAGGAATTTCTCTTAAAACGTCGACTTTAGAACGCTGATTCGGCTTTTAGTTTAATTCAAGAACAGTGGATGTCAACAGGGGATTACTGAAATCTACGACAAGCATTAAGAGACTGTAGCCGATCATTTTTTTAAATAATTTTTAATGCAAAAACGGCGTCCTCAAGGCATCTTCTTTGGAATCAAACTGAAGACATTTTTGGACAAAAATTTCCGTTTAGAGTGCACCACAATAAAAATTCGAGTCTCCCTGAACCGCCCCCTGATTGGACGAACGAATTGGGGGATAACTAATCAAGGGTACCCAACGAAATTGTTCTGTAACATACCTGTCCGCAGAAGCAAAAATTGCTTAGAATTTTCTATACCTTGAGGTAGGCTAAGAATTTTCTAGATGACCGTTCCATTCATGTACAATTGTATAGTTTCGCATTTCACTCCCCCAGGTTATGCTATTTTTTGCAGAAAAAGGAAACCTAAAATTTTCGGGGAAATAATACTGTTTAGAAGCCCTGGTAATTTCGAAAAAAAAACTAAGTGCCCTAGGATGACCGAACAGATATAAATTTTTAGGCGCCGACTATAATGTATTTCTAAAGATCTAAAAGTACTCTGGATAGCTTAAACAGTGTTTTCAATGCATTTAGGAGGAAACCGTCGTTGGGTGCCCCTGACTAATCAACATCTTTATTTAAGTTTGGTTTTGTTACTGTTACTACCGTTTGGCTGTGTAGATATAACGATGCTCTAAGTATCTCTTCCTCGATGTTGCATGTTGATGATTTGAGCAGCTTTCGTTTGGTTTGTCTTCTGCACCATCTCCGAATCTGACACCCGGACCTTAAAGGTGCTTTTAGCCAAACTAAGGTGCTCTGAGGACCTAATTTTTCCTGTTGAGTATCCTAGGGGTACACAAACGGGGACCGACCTAATATAGTCCATAATGTACCTCCTCTCAAGTTTACAAAATTGCCCACCGCAATCATCAATTACGCGCATGCTAATATGAAAAATGTTGCATTCGACGCCAATCTGATCAAGTAATTAAAATAACTCATCGGTGCTGTTTCCTGATCAAGTATTCATATGCTTAGAAGTGTATAATTACGTGATCAGATTAGCACCGAATGCAACACTTTTCATACAGTGTTTTCCCCAGCGAATTTTAAAAACAAACAGAAGTACTACAGGCAAGCTTACTTTTGTCAATAATAGAAATGCAAATGATTTGTAGACTTACCAACATGGTCACTTGTCAGGTTTAAAAAGAAAGCTGTTCGGTTGAGATGATGCTGAGCAAATGATATTGCAAATGCCTCAAAAGCCACAGTTGCCAGGAATACTTCTTGAATAGTTTTCACCCTACTTTTATTCCGTCTTCCATCAGAACTTTTTGTGCGATTTTCGCCCTTCTTGATTATACTTTCAAGGTCTTTTGTAGCATACTATAACCAAGTAAATGATGATAGTCAATTCAAACCTTGGTTCAATTTTTTTCTTATCAGGTGTTTTTTTTTTTTTGAATGGTTATGTGGAATATAAACTTGCGCTAAGGATTCAAACAAACTACAACATATATTTTGTTTGTTTTGTTCAGGTCTTGTTGTTTGTGTTTTCTTTGAGCGAAAGAAACACAACAAAATATGTGAACTGAAGTTCAGACTAAAGTTGCTACTTGTACTAGCACCTGAGCGTAGTCTCAACCCCTCCCCCCTCCCCGCAATTACCAAGGAGAGGATAAAAATGCAATCATTATATCCGTGTCCAGCTCCACAAGGATGTCATCTTTTGTATAGAGCGTATTCACTCTCGTGGCCAGTGTCTATGCAAATTTATGGGAACAAAAGAAATTTTTTACATAAGGAAAGAGTCCAACTTCTGCAGAGTTTGTTTGGAACACCAATATGGCCGCTGTGAAGTCATGTGAATATGCTCTGTGGTGTTCCATGGGACCTGTGATGCCACTCAAAATGACCGCCATCTTGTGCTGCTAAGAAGTTCTGGTTCAAACTCGCATGGAAAAAGTCTGAGACGACCCTAACCCACTCGCTCCTCCCTGTAGGTCTAAGGGCTAAAACATATTGGTATGGGAACCACATTTAATGTTCACTAATATCTAGTAAGTTAGTAACCAGCAAATATAAAGCAAAACACATTGTTTGTGAGCTGGTCAAATCATGAAATGCAAGAATTCCGATCGTAGCCACTGTCACCTATCATTGCGAACTTCTGTTGATAAAATCAAACCAAAATGCATCACTTATGACAATCCTGAAAAGCGTAGATCATGAACAATCCTTTATCTTAGCAAACACACGAGACCGACAAAAGCTTGGTTCAAGCAAATATGATTCATTCGGTTCTATATCCCTGGGCGCAAAGCTTTTACAGAAGCGTAGTTTTACTTAACTAAAGTGGTCCAAAGATTACTTTTGACAGTTGGTTGCTTTTGATATAAATCCCGTGCTTTCATGTTAAATTAAATGAGACCAAAGTCAACATAGTATTTTACCTCCAGAGCGGTTTTATTTTTGACGTCCCGTGCGCAAAGGGCTTTTAACATCTATAAAATAGCAAGGGAAAGATCATCATCATCATCATCATCATCATCATATTCATTAACGCCCCTTCAGGGATGTGAGATGGCTTACCAGGAAATTGGTTAGTCTCGAAAATTTGCAGTTTTGTGCTCAAATATCGAGCAGTGGTAATTGCAATTTAAGAGTCTGTCCATGAGAAAACCAGGTAGAACCAGACAGGGGTGATAATGCTCAAATCACAGATTTCGCTTAAACCTGGCACAAGTGTTAGGTACTGTAAGTTGACTTATGTAACAACATATCAGGTAAAAATGTTTAATTCCCCGCGAGATACATGCCCCCTTTGTAAAAATTGCCATTTTGCCGTTTTAAGCACATTAATTAATTAGCCAACTTTAAGATGCCACTGCAACAAACAGAAACTCCACTTGGAACTTAAATCCACTGACAAATAATCTGGGTCTACAAGACTTAAAGCACCATAACTTATTTCCAGTCGTCGATTCGATGTCTCCCTCTAAGCCCCTCTCAAACTGGGCCATCATTTCCTAGTTTTGAGAAAGTCGTTACGTTAAGGTATTTTATTCCCCAATATCTCTGATGAGAAGCAAGCTATCATTATAATTCTTACATGAGCAGTTAAAGCGATTTCTTCAGTTGTGAAAAAGATGATAAAAAGTTTGGCAATTCACTTTCTTCCCTGTGCTGCCATAAACTGTTCATGTGACTGAACGACTTTTGCCTACTTCATTAAAATTCAGGCCGTCACAATTCTCGTGTGCTTGCCTTTGAATGAGGAGAAATCGAAGAAAAAACTCATCAGACAATGATTCAACATTTATAAGAATAAAATCGTTAAAATTGTCGTGCAAGAAACTTGACAGCTTGATGACTGGTCTTTTTAAGTAAAAACAACATACAAAGATTTAATGAAGGTTCCAAGTACAAGGTTTTGTCTAAAAAAAATTTGGTGGTCGCTTATGAGAGGTGGTCGCAAATGGAGGTTCGATTGTACGTCGTTAAACGAATATTTACAGTTAAAATTTAAGAGAAATCCAAAAATTGCTATTCACAAATGAGAAATGAAGACAATCAAAGCTCTCGTAAGTGACCACCTCGGAAATTGAAAAAAGTGGTCGTAACTAGAGCTGGTCGCTTACTGGAATGAGCTCTCGTAAGCGAACGCGTGGTAAAACAATACAGGGTGGTCGCTTACGGGAGCTTCAGAAACATTCGAGCAATGGTTTTCTTTCAACCATTCGTGATAATTCCGGGTGGTCGCTCACGGAAAACGGAAAACAAAAGTTTAAAAAGTGGTCGCGGCCGTTTGTGGAAGCAGGTTAGTTAATAGAGTACTTCAGCGTTAAAGCAGAGGTCATGGGTTCGAATCTCGTTGGAGTCCCCATTTTTTTTCTGGTTAATTTGCGATTGCTTAAATTGCTATTACCACTGCGACAATCGTATCTTCATTTAAATTTGCATTTCCGAAGTTTTCATTTTAAGAATAGATTAATTACATCCTTTGTTATGACACATACGAATGAATCGGATGTAAACCTCATTTCAAACATGTTTATCTACCTCTTTGTTCAAGTCTTCATCATTTTCTTCGTCGTCATCGGTGTACTCTGATTGGACCTCTACGAAAAAAATGGATTATCCTATAAATGTTTTTTCTTTCTTTGAAGTAATTGACATTGACTAAGGGTTAACCCAGGGTTTGAGGTTAATTTTGCCGAAATTTTAGTTCCTACAATTTGTCTCAAAGCTTATCTTCAGTTGATGATGATTCCTGGCTTCATCTAATCTGAAGTCCATATAGGAGTACACCCTAATGTATCTTTATCTCGGTTGGCAGTTATCTTGTCTGCAGAGAGGAAGATCGTAGCCTTTTGATCCAGGGCTGCAACAATGCCTACGTAGAGTCTTAAAGAAACTAAGAAGGTGAAAAATGTGCTTTACTACTTGAATGTTAATAATTTAGCATAAAAGTACTAAATGAAAACAATAGTTTTAGGTCTCCTACTGGAGACGGGAACGGGACCACCATTTTACGTGGCCATCCGACCCACAAGAACGCCCACCGTTTGCAGGGCAATCAAAGTACCTTCAATTCTCAGTTATCTTCAGTTAATATTATGACTCTGATTATTGATCCGACCCCAAGGACTTCACCCGCGACCTACCGCTCTGCGGTCAAGTGCGCTACCTCCTGTCAGTTAGTCCTTCCGCTGTACTGCCTCCATTTTGCAGTTGGCTACACAGGGGCGGCGCGCTTGGTTAACGTACCGTAAAATATTCTCCTCAATTAGTGCTGTGCATTAAATACGCTGACATTTTAATTTATTTGTTAAAAATAATTACTTACCGCTTTCACTGCTTTTAGCAATGGTGTTGCACCGAATGACATTGGTAAAGAAAATGCTTGGCTTAATATCGCATTGCTTCTCATAGGTAATTTGAAAATGAGTAGTTCCATTCTCAAGTGGGAACACATGATGTTGGAAATAGTTATAGTACAACGTAAAGGTACTTTCGCACCTTTTTCGAAGTGTTTCTAAGTGAAAACAGGATGCAAATAAAGAGCAAAATTCTGATTTAGTCAAAGGTCTTAACCAACGTCCGTTTGTTCCCTGAACCAGTTTATCACAGGTTGAGTTGATACCACTCCTATTTTTTGCGCATGGTGATTCCACTACAACGAAAATATCAGAAACAAGGTTAACATAATGGCTCCTCAAGATTATGGAAAGAAGAATTAAAAAATGCAACAAAAAAATTATCACTGCTCTCGAGTTTTGGTTACTATTTTTTATTGTTTCCAATCAAGGCAAGACACTTTTTCATCACACTACTAATCTTTCTGAACGCACGTGAGGTTCCATCCAACAGGAACTTCATTTCGCCCTGACCGACAGCAGCAATGAATTTACAGTGATAATAACTTGTCTTGACATCAGCTGATTTCAACAATTATAGTCCAGTTTTGTTATTGAAGACCATATTTTGGCTTTGAAAAGGTATCCCGTCGCGATCGTCTGTTGCAACGGATGGCAAGGATAGAAATGGATAGAAACTTAGCCAACTTTTTCATGTTTCAATGCTGCATATGCAAAAATCACCCAAAAAAATATTAAGATTATTGTTCCCTGCTGAAATTTGTTTCATATCGACAAGAGCATTTTGTGTATGGGTAACGACTTAAACAAAGAATTTACCTAAAACAGCAATATCCTCGTGACATAACCCGTTTAACTCGGGATGAGTAAGATGAAAATATAAGTGCTTCATTTTAAAGTAGTGAATAAGTAAATAAACCAGTTGGCTAGACTACCGAGAAGCAATGCAAATCCTACGAGTGGTGAGAGAAGGGCCCAAACCCGATCTTTCGGATTCACAGTTCGACTCGCTAACCACACTTGGCCATACAATCTTTCCCCATTTCAAATTAGCCGTATTATGTTAAGTTATAGGTTGACAACTTTTCCCTAGCAACGGCCTCGAAAGATACGATGATGGGCCCATAAACCATACTAATTTATGTTTAGATGAACTTCCTAAAAGTCTACTTACCAGTTAATGCCTTGGTTTCTCCGCAGAAATATTTGGTTGTCTTTATGGATATTCTTTTTAAACATTTAATGTATTTCATGTGGATACTCCTCACAAAAGATGCATCACCACCTTTTACAGAAGTAGAGATATGGAGTTGCCCCCTCAGTAACCCCTTATAACAAGCATATCGCCATCTTTCAGTTTCATTGAAGCACGTAGCAAGATGGTTGCACAGTTCCTTGAAGCACTTCCTTATTATGCAAAGGCATTGTATTGTGAAATCATAATGTTGTTGGGTTCCATTAACAAACTGTGCACAGTTTTCTCCTTTAAGCTCTCGCCCTTGCATGGCCTCATAGGAAAGAAAGCACGATTTTCCTGTATAAAAATAGACATTTGCTGTCTTTGTATCTTTATCTTTTGCTAATTACTCAGACTTTTATGAGGCCGCTATACAGTATAGTTAGACGCATGAGGACTGACCCGAAAAGGGGAAGACTTAATTCTAAAAGGAAAGCTAAATAGAAATTAAAGGATTAAGTTGATAGATTTTTATACTTTAAAACGTTTAAAATTTGTACACCCTTATACCTGTCCAGAGGGGGAAGACTGCTAGAAATTAAAGTGGGGTTGATCTAAATGTACATCATGCAATCAACCAGTTTTTGGATTGTTTTAATTGAACACGTAACAAGTGGAGAAAAATTTATAGTGAAAGATAAAATTATTTTGACAACTAGACAAAATTTTGAGAAATAAGATTTTATGACCTTATTATTTTTTCTGACCCGCGCAGAATTTCAAATTTGTGATCCATGAGATAATTATGTCACCTCTACTGAAAAAGATATATTTCCGCTAAGCAGCACTTTTACGACAGAGAGTACAACTTACCATTTGTTGCTACATTGGAGACACAGAGGACTAGAGAGTAAGGCAAAAAATATATTAAAACAACTTTGTAGGATTACGTCGCATGTCTCCTCTTTTAAAAAAGGGATAGAACCATATGTCAAGTTAAGTTTTAATACTGAGTATGACTAATGAGACTAAAGACGCCTGCTGAACATCTTATTAGTGTATTACATGAAAACGAGGAAGGCAACAGAAATTAAAGAATATATCATTAACCAAATTTATATTCTCCTCATTGGACAGACACAAATAAGATAAAAAGTAGAATATTAAAAAATATATATTTTGTTATCGTTTTTTGAAATTCTTAGCAACTCAGTGAAACAGCATTTGCAGACCACCATCCGTCGTTTACAAAATTCGCTGAGACCTTTATGATAATTTTTCTAGCTTCTTCAATATTTGAAGGAGCCACATTTGCATTGAATAAGCCCTTGTGGTCATTTTGAGTAGACGGACTGGTTTTCTGTTATGCTTGGATATCGTTAAAGAATTGCGGTCTTGTTAAAATACCATTTATCACAGTGAAATACTACCATAAGAACTACCTATTTCTGTCTGCAAGTTATTCTTTTCAAGATCAATCTTCATAAGTTATACCTCGTCGCACAAATAATACTAAGAAGAGAAAGTTGTGGTATTTCAACTACGTTTTATAGCAAAAAGAACATGAACTAAAATCATTAATGATACTCACCACAAATTATCCTACTGAGAACAGCTCCCACCCTTATTTTCAAAACTTCCATTGTTTTTGACTAGAGAAAGTACCTGGAATGAGCGAAGAGGATTTTCTTCCTTTAAGTTTCATTTATTTTTGATGAGTCTAATTTAATACGGTAGTGACGTTAGCTACTCAAAAAGCAAATTGCTTTCCTTTAATTTTCTTATCTCCGTGTATCTTGCTGACACCTGACAGGTTAAAACTTTAATAACGGAAAACAAGTGGAGAACGCGTCTTCTATAAAACCGTTTGGATATCCTTATTACCGAAGCATGATAAGTTTTGATGACTGTTTGTCATTTCCAATATTGACTCTCCAAGTAATGATAAATTATGGTAATATTAAATAAATCAGTCGACTTTTGAAATACAGAAGGGATATAAAAAGACGTGTGAAAAGAATGACTTGGGGCAATCCGTACCTTTAGAACGCTTTCAATCAAGTTGCTAGTTTTAGTAGATTTACATTTTCGATGCCTGATCGAGTTGTGATTAAAACAAATTCAAAACCGGAGGAAGTAGTATTATTACTAAAAAGACTTATTAACAAAAAAATTTTACGGAAAAAAAGGCAGTGCTGTTCTAAAAATGAATATCTCTCAGGAGAAAAGTTTAATTTTGTTATTAATACTTAATCTAATAATTACACAATGAGCACAATTCCAATTATAACTCTCTTCATCCTGGGCTGAACTTTTAATCAACAGTTTGTTCTGAGATGTCGGCAAAGCCGGCTAAGGAGCAGGTGATTTTAGCTCTAAAGAGTCGGAAAACCCTCTTTATAACAATATTTATCCCTTGCTTTATATATATTCAGTTGATAGAGAAACGGCTGAATAAGAAAGGGTTAATTTACCAATTTTGGCAAAGAAAAAACATTAAATAGAAAAATATTATAAATACTCCTTAGCGGTTGCTCGCAAACACAACATAAATGTATTCAAAAAGGTTTCCATACTCACATTAACAATAGTTATCCTCACGGGAGTTTTGAAACGGTCGCTTGTTTTTAATTCACTTCAAAAATGTAGAATCAACGATGAAGCGTCAGTCTGCAGGAGTTACACTGTATAATAGCTGAAACGATCGATCAAAAGTGGGGAAAATTTTCCCTCTCCGTGTTTTATTTATATGGGACATTTTATCTTTTAAGGCTGATAGCTTTTAGGCAGCTTTCCTTACAAAATGATGTATTGACTTAATTTGACGCCAATTGTCAATAAACCAATTTTAACTAAAAGGCAGAGTGATTGTCTTACCAAATAAGGTTTGGATTGTATAAACAAGAAAAAATTATTGCAGACAGCAATAAGAAGACATTTTAGGGTACTTTCCGAGAGCTACGACGTCTGCAGTTGTGTGATACCCTACATGATATATCCTAATAAGGAAGCTGGTACCATGCGAGCAAAGCTTTCTTTTGACTTCTTGAGTGAGGAGGAGAAAAGGAGGCTGTGCCTGAATCGCAATCCCGAACTTCTGGACTAGTCAATCATGTTTTATCTCTTCAAACTGATTTTTGGTTTCTAGTGAGAGCATCCGTTTGAAAAAGAGAAGGTCATAACGGAGCCCGCTGTGGTAAGTATCCGGTTATTAAGTGTGGATTCGACACTATCCTAGCAACATGCAGCGCGTGCGCAACTCAACAAAAATCTTATTCTATTCATGCAGAGACAGTCATGTACGCCAAAATCAAGCAAGCGAAAGAAAGGCTCTTGTGGCAGGGTGGAGAGGATAGGGTCCAAAAAAAGCGAGGATCGTCCATGTGTCCTTAACACTCGACACGTCGAATGAGACACTTCAGAGTTCTCTAGACCGTGGGGACTGGTTCAATATTGTCGACATACGCTAAATGAGATCGTCTGGAGCCGATTTCGTACTCAGATCGAAAGCCGAATAGAAAGACCCGACACCGAATAAAAAACGGAACCGAATGTAGATTAACTACACTAGAAGGAGAAAAAAAATCCACTAACCGGATTATTGGTTGTGTTGTTAACCTTGGGCTGATCTGAATATGGTACAATGTTTGGAAAAACCTGTACACGCACGGTGAGAGCTTGCGCCTACGATGACATTGCTATTACATACTTCTTCTAAACCCTGTTCTGACTTAGAAGACAACAGGTGGTAAAGTAGACGCTGCACCATTTAAATCAACCCCTACCTTATATGGGCTGCTATTAGTACGAACCGTGTCCGCTTGTTAACCACTGTCGCAAGTTCGGTGATTCTTGCCCTCCAAGGTGAAATGGGTCTCTGATGCGTAGATGGTTGATTTGTCCAGTTGACGCTCCCAAAGATGAAGTCCAGCCGAACAATCATCGTATTTCTTTTTCCGTCTCTACAAAGACTGGCTCACCCATGCTCAAATATCCAGGGTAGTTTATAAGGCTAGTTGCTGGGTCTGCAAAGATTTCTATATAGGAAAAACTAAACTAAGATTGCATGACGCGAAAACTGAACAATTCAAAGCCATTACAAGTAGCAATCAATCATAAGCTATTGACCACTCCAGAAAATACCATAACATGCCATAATACTCTTAATTAGTCACTCCAACATTTTGCATAAGCATTGTCTTTAGTTTCTCTTGGGAGTTAAAATGGCCCCAAGAGAAACTGAAAATAATGCTTATGCAAAATTTTGGAGTGACCAACAAGAGTCTTATTGTATGTTATAGTATTTTCTAGAGTGGTCAAATTGCAGACCATGTCACGTTAGCTGGTCATAATTAGAATGGGACAATTTCGAAATTTTGGCAAGAGGACGGTCGGACACCCATTGCAAGATAAAGGACACTCTGCTGATCAAGGATCTAAAACCTCCCCAGAAAAAAAATGTCAGCAGTGAAAAATTTTACGTTTTTAAGTTTGTATGCTTTATTAATATGCAAATTTCCCACCATGGGTCTTCTATTATTTATTTAATTCGTTAATTATTCTACATTTAAATCTCTGCTGTCCAACGGTTTATACTTCTGAAGATGTATGTTGAATTGCGTTTATATTCCCTTAAGTTTATCACTGGACGCAGTTGCTTTTTGTTTCATCTTTAACAATATCCAGCGACATTTTATGATATTTAATGCTTTTCTATAACAAATAAAGGAAATAGAGGATCATACATGGCCGCGCGGGGATACAAATTTACGAACGAGTGAGAGAGACTTTCAGCACGAGAAGATAAAATTCGAATTCCCAAGCGACCATGTAATGTTCTGTTTATTTTATAGAACACAACTTTGTGTTTTATTCATTTTCGAAACAGCAAAATAGTGCAATTAAAGTGGTCACCTATCGCAAAATGCCTGTCACAAAAATGTTATGAAACGCGGATATAAAGCTATAAAGGAGAAATAAAGACAACAATTGGCTAATCATGTTAGTAACCATGGCGACACCAATATCCTCACACGTGAAAGACAGAAATAGTATCTTCACTGAGCGCGATGAAGATATGATTTTTTAGTAAAAGGAAAAATCCTGGTATTTCATCAGTATCTATATAAAAAGTAGGTTGACTTTGATCGTCCGGGTGAACTTAATCCTGAATAAGACTGTTGTTGTTGACAGTGACTGACGTTTCGACAACCTGTGCGGTAGTCATCTTCAGAGTCAAAGTGAGTTGTTTCACGTCAGTTGATGGTATTATACCCTGGTTATTGGTCTGATTGGTCATTTACGTTGCTATGTTATTGGTCGTCTCTCAGTTAAACCGTGACAGACGGTTAAGTTAGTTAAGCCGTGACATCAAGGGATGTTCCATTCATTTACCACTTTTCAAGTATGTGGTGACCAAAATTTGTAATTTTAATCGAGATAATTTTGCAATTAACAATTGCTTTCTACCTGCTATGCATTCTACAATAGATGGTTTGACAGAAATACAAATGTAGACAATGATTACATCTTATAGTGTTTCTTAGCTAAATTGATCATAAATATAACAATTAATTCTTTTTTTTTAGCTTCCCGAGTGTTATCTTTGCCTAAATCTCGTTTGTTATGTTTATTTCGAGAACTAGCTTATCACTCGGAATAAACATGGTTGATGAAAACTACTCTCGGCTATTTTTCTGCGCGTATTACACCTTAGGTGGACTCTCCAAGGTAACAAACATGTAGTTATAATTGAATCTGGATCTGTTGGAGACCTGTGACGTCTGAATTTTATATCGGCCACCATCTTGAAATGTACTGAGAATTTCGATTCATGAATTCAAATCAGAGTTTACAATCTAAGCATTTCTTGTTTTCAGGGTCTAAAACATTTCTTTACTGCGCTTTTCACAGACACGCGAACTCTAAAGTTCAAAAGCCGCCTTAGCTTCACAATTGCGTTTTTCGCTGCCGTCAATCATAATTACGATCACAAGCAACGAACCTTGAAACACAGAAACACACAAAACGGATGGAAATCGACCAATCACAGATCACAAACTTTGACCTATTGAACCCGTTTAAGTAAAGTTCTGTTTCCTAAGAGGTCCGTTGAGAGGACTGACGGCAGCAAAAAAAGGCAAACGTCAGTTGGCTTTTGAAATTCAGAGTTCGCGTGTTTTTGAAAAGCGCAGTAATGAAAATTGCCTTTCTTTGGTAATGTTTCGTACGTTTTTTCACAAAGGATTTCGAAAGTTCGGATTTATAACTTAAAAGGGGCCTCCCACGCCTGCCGCAAAGGAACCATTGCCTAGGTACCGGCACAAAACAGTGAGGTGTTCACATCTTTAGTACAATACAAGTCTCGACCTTGTACTCACGTACTGGCACCACGCTCGAATTCTAGTGTGGGTACTTTAAACAAAGGGTGTGTTCACTTTAGAAGAAAAGAATAAAACTTATACATGTCCATAACATACGGCTATTTCCAAATTCTCTACTGTTAGAAAACTTATACATAACATAATTACGGTTAGGTCAAAATGGTTAATTTTGGCCGTGTTGCTACTAAAACGATTATAAAAAAAAGATAAACTTGTGGTCCACGGCCTGTCGCTGTTGTAGTGAATATATTTATTGGGAGTTAAGCCTACAGAGTACTCCTTTCCTTTCTTTGCTGGTTCGCATATCTTGGTAACAAACTGAGTTTTCTGTTTAAGCTGTGATGGAGATATACAATACAATCATGGTGATTTCACTAGGCTCTCGGTACTTATGGGCATAACTTCAATTTTTCGCAGGGAAAGGATTCCGCTGCTGCTGCCATTGAGGTCAGATTGTCTTTTAACGCTTGTAGTTCCATTGCTGGCAGCTGGAAATATCACGCGTATTCTTCTTTTGAACCTATCTCTGATCTGCAGGATAATCAAAGAGAATTAATTCGAAAGATCCCTCCCTGCCAGGTCTGTAAGGAAGTTTGGACGGACGGACGTACGCTGACGTCATAACCAAAAATTCGCATGCATTGATAGGTTTCCATTTTCTATAGCAATAGGGGCTCCGCCACGCGCGCGCGGAGGCTCTGCTATCAACTTTCTCTGATGACTATTGTTATTATGTTTTGGGGTCATGGTAACAGTCCGTAATAAACAGGTGTTCGTAATCGAGGGGTTTGACCGTAAATTCCTTGTGATTTTGGTTCTGGGGTTTGGATTCGAGTTACTAAAAACATTGTTTAACTTTTAATTCGGCAACATGAGATGATAAAAGTTGGAATCGTTTAACATTTTGTCCTTACCTCACTATTTCTCACACAGTGAAGAAGAAAGATGAAAAATCCCTGCGGGTAGGAAAATAAAAAAGACTGTCACCAAAGTTTTCCAAAAAATGTACTTATATAGTCTTTGGCCGTCTTCAGTGAAATAATTTCGAGCTTTGCCATATCTTCTTTTAATTTCTTGACTTTGATTTGTGATTAAGTATTTACTTTTTAAGCTACGAAATGGGTGCAACCCACGGACTAAATGCAGACTTATTTTCCCAATAATAAATCATGACTTTTTTAGTTGCAGAAAACTTTTTTGGCAGATCTTCATGTGCACTTTGCCTGATGGTTGCTAAAGGAAGGATACATTTAATTCGGTCTTTGCCACTTGCACATCTCCCATAATGCACCTTATTTGTCCCCCAAAATTTCGTATAAGCATTGTTTTAATTTCTCTTGGGACGGGTTGTGATACCCAGGAGAAATGATTACGCATTTTTTGGGGGGGGAGGGAAAGGGGGCAAATAAGGTGCTTTATGGGAGTTGTGCAAGTGGCGAACAACAAACACAGCAGGCCCTACGGTTAGTTTACCAATTGATGAATGATGTATGCGCAAAAAAGGGGGCTCACATCTCACCTGAGTGGAATTGAAGATAACAAAAATGTAAGCGAATGCTTTGTGGGTTGACGATAGTGCGCCGAATAACCACGTGACCCCAAGTAAGGGAATTAGCACCACGCATGCTCTGATTCCAAGTCTACCAATAAATAACATATTCAATTAAATACACATATCTCGAAGATAAAACAGACAAATTGTTGTTTCCAACGTCCTAACTTTTTTAGCCTAGCCCTTCATCAGTGGAATGCCGGTGGTGTTGTTGCAGCTAAGTCACTGTGTTGCCAATTCACAACGAAGGGAACACAATAGAGCAGTTTGAGTAGTGATAATGGGCGCTTTCCATTTAGGAAAAAAACCCGGAAATTTCGCTGGTAGCAAAAGTGGAATTTCCGATTGGTAAAAAGTTGTTCCATTTGGTCGTAAACCCCGGTACGTGGCGGTGCCCGACCGTGGACCTGGAACTGGTACAAACTACGAGAAACGTAAATGGAACACGAGATTCCGTTCGGAAATTCCAACCGGGAAAACGGGACCACCTTTTTAGATTTTCCACTTTTTCTGGGAATTTTCCAGTGGGACGAACCGACGAAACGTGTTCCATTTACCGCCGAACCGGAAATTCCGGAAATTTTGAGTAAATGGAAAGCGCCCAATGTAACGAAATGGCCAAACAAAGTTTTGTTCTCAAAAGGAATCTTTGCTTAATTCAAGCCGGGCGCGTAACAAATGCAGTATATTACATGTACTTACACATGCCTGTTAAAACAAGCAATAAAATCTGTGAGACCTTATCTGTTCTCCTTGGTTGTCCTTTGTTTGTTCCATTCGTGTCATTTCTCTTATAACTCTCACCAAAATCAACAAGTTTATCTGGAAAAAATAACAGAGTTGAGAAAATAGAAAACTTAAATTAGAATATCACAACACCGCCCACGTGATGGTGACTGAGGTAATCTTTGTCGTTAAAACAAATCCTTTAAACCATTCTCTTTGTTTTTCTTTTAGTACGTTTTTGTGTGTCACTTTTTTTTATCAGATTAAAAAAAAATACTGACTGGACTTACGATCTCAATTGCAAGAACAAACGAGATGAATATCCAGATCAGTCCGTTAGAGGAAGAAATCCAGCAGCTAAAACGAAAACAAAATAAATTATAAAATCTGCCCGTGTGTGTGCGTATTGGAAATCAAAAGGACAAATGTTAACTGATATATCTATTCTCATATATGAACATTCACCGAAGGAAAATGAAACTTCATTCGCACTAAAGAATATTGTTTTCGATAAACTGCTATAGAAATTGGCCTTATTTATGAAAAAATCCTTAATGACTATGCCACAAAATTAAATGTTTCCTCCCTTGCCGAAACTGTTGATATAGATTTATTAAAATAAATAATATTTTCACGTTTATACTACTACATGAGAAATTTCTGCAATTTGATTGGTTTAAAGCAGTGGTAATTCAGCTTAATTTGAAATGCCTACATGTAAAAATTAGAAACCTTTTGGGGGTAGTAGTATAAACAAATAATAGCATGATTTGTACGTGATATTTGGCAAAAATACCACTCGTAATATTTCAAAGTTGTCTCAAATTTCACTCGCCAAACGGCTCGTGAAATAACGTACAACAATTTCGAAATATCACTCGTGGTATTTATGCCAAATATCACTACAAATCATGCTATTACCTATACTAATAAAAATTTATTTCCCCGTGATGAACGGAAAATGGTGTATATACGAGAAAGGGTATGGGTAATTCACCCTCGTAGGTAAACGAAAACGATGTATCTTTACGTATTCTACTTTTCACCATTTCTCTTCTTACTATTCATCGCTAACAAAACTTGTGATTCCGTCCATTCCGGCAGCAACAGTGAGCGATAAAGTGACCATTGCCGCAGGAAAGCCTGAAACAAAGGTGTGGCGGGAGGAGTTCAATTATAAAATTTACTTGAACATTCAAAATATTAATTCGGGTTTAACGCACAAACTCAAAAGTGCGAAAACCACTCTATATACACTGCATAACAAGCATGAAACTTAAAACACACTTTGAAGTATTCGCGAGAATAATTGTCGCCAGCTATCAGGTGAAGCATTGATAACATTAGAATGTCAATTATGCGAAGGTCGTCAGAAAATGAGTTTCAGGGATTTATCAGGAACAAAATTTGAAATTTGGGTCTGTCAATTTGGCTTCTTCGATAAAATTTAATTGAAACGTTGAGGCTATTGTGTTTTTTTTTTCGCCGTTACATTCAGTCTTTAGTCCTACACTTACTAGTTTCATCCTCATCTTTGCCCAAAATTTGAGAAACTAAAATGCAAATTTATCCCTTTACACTTACCCCATGAAATTCCGTGACAAATTTTCATCTTGCTGCTAACGTTGTAGACTTTGACAACAAACAAGTAAAGATAAATTCCCTCTATTAACATCCAACAGAAAGCCGCCATAAGGAAATATTGAATCAGGGCTGCTGCTGTTACACAGACGCCCTGCAAAGTACAACATGTAGTCAAAAGTCGCATACTTGAAGGACACTGTAACCACCTTGTACCTTAAGATTCCAGGACGAGGAAGATTACTAAATTTGTCTCTTTTTTTCTGGCAAATTCTAGAAAAGTACCCCGGAAAGCTTCAATATTAAGATTGACCAGGGTTCCATGTAACAAAACTTTTACGAGTGTAATTCACAAGCGTAGAGTCTGAAAACAATAGCTACACTTTTAAAATACACTTGTAAAAGTTCTATTAAATTGACCCCGGGTAATTTTTAATATCCCATCTTGCCTTATGTTTCCATTTCAGTATTATTAAATGGAATCCACAAAATTAAAACGTCAGACATTTAACGTAAAGTATGTGGAGTTAATTTGCCACCCCAAATAGGCGAGGTAACCCGCTTTGGTGGGGAAACCCGCCTGTTTATACAATCTCTCATTGATTTGATAGCTGTTTCATGATAGGTGGGATGACCATATGAGAAATTATATGGGCAGGTGGGCTACCACCATAGCAGGTTACCTCACCTTTCCCCACCTCTATGTAAATAGGTCCTTAGAAACGAGAAGGAAAGTGGAGCAGATATGCTTCCCGTAATTGTTTCTGTGATCCTTAAAAGGGACTTTAAGATCCAACGACGCCACGGCAACGAGAACGTCTCTTAAAAAGTAAATTTGTGTTCTTTCAGTCTTTATCGCGATTATTCCTACCCACTTACTTTGTCAAATGTAGGCGAACCCTCCTGGGTGAAGTTGAATTCCAAGGGACCATATCCAAGTTCAGCAAGAGAAATAAAATTTCGCCTTTACTAGTAACAGTCCCAAGTCTTTGCGAAAGTTAACCCGGCCTATTTCGCTTCTCGTACGTTGCTTAAGTGACGAATTGACCACTACAGAAAATGCCAAAACATACCATAATACTTCTTGTTGGTCACTCCAAAATTTTGCATAAGCATTGTCTTCAGTTTCTCTTGGGAGTTAAAATGGCTCCACGACGGAAACTGAAAACAATGCTTATGCAAACTTTTGGAGTGACTAACGAAGAGTATTATGGTATATTATGGTATTTTCTGTAGTGTTCAGTTGCCTAAAGTGATTATGACCAGCGCCTAAACGAGTTCTCACCTTGTTTTCAATTGCTCCAATGCCTGCGAGGAAGATTATTTGGCCCACTCCAAGGGAAGCGACAAGACTTATCCGGATTTGTGACAGTGGTGCTTTAATATCGCTGTGTAAAGATAAACAACTACATTGTCTTCAACAAAACCACTCTGGGTGGGTCTAACAAGGGAATCTCTAAATCTGTATTATAACAATGCAACACAATAGAGCGTCTTTCATTCACGTGACCAGCATCTGTGCAAATTTATTGGAACAAAAGAAAGTGTTTACATAAAAAAGAGCTCAACTCCCACAGGACTGGTTTGGAACACCAACATGGCCGCCTTTTTATAGTTTTTATTGTTTTTTTTTTTTAATGGCCTCCGTTACGTCATATGAAAACGCTCTATACAAAGCAAATTATCATACAATACAATACAATTCAATTCAATACAGTAAAATACAATGTAATACACTACCCTACAATGCAATGTTATACAATACAATACATAGCCTGCGAAGCGCAGACGTATTTCCGGTCGTCTCTTCTCTCCCTCCGAAGGGAGGGAGAAAAGGCTATACAATACAAAGCATTACAATGAAGTACAAGACAAGGCAAGACAAGATAAGATAAGATGTATGAGATAAGAAAAGATAAGATAAGAAAAATTAAAGACTGAGAAGGGAAAACGTTCAAAATTTGGGCTTAAGGAGCCGTGTTCAAACATTTGATTATGTTTTAAAAAGATGTTACATGTACTTACGTCAGAAATGTGTAGCAGATTATTGTCGCTATGATTCCGATTAAGGAAAGGGTAAGACCCAAGTAGGTCAGAATATTCAGCACCTTTTCATCTTTCTCCATACGAAACAACCGAAAAACCATTTAATCTCCACCGTACCAGACAGGCTAATTTTGTTCTCAAAAGCCCGACACGCTTTCGAGCAGCTGGCACGCAGGCTAATTTTTCTCCGAATTTGTTCTCAAAAACATTTTGAGCTATAACCTCTTTCTTTTGTAAGATCTGTTCACTTTTTACTCAGGCGGTGTTGGACACGGTCCACGTGACCAATTTTGTCCAATCACGTCATTGCAGATGGCGGACCGATTCTTTCTCCTTTGTGCGGGTAGTCTCTTCGATTTTCTTCGCTTTTCGCCGTTTAACAAGTGGTTTACGATTATATTTTTTGGAAAAGTTTGAGTAGACAGATGTAGCAAGCCGCAGTTCTTAAAACAATATGATGTATGTTTGTTTTCTATTGATATTGTTCTTTGGAATTCTTCATGTGCATAATCCCTTGGTTTAGTTAAGAGCTATTGTTTATGCTTTTCAGTCTACATTTTCTCAGTGTTCAACGACCCCTGACCTCCAGTTTTCGCATAATCTATTAGTTTTGTTGTTCAAGTATCTGAAATGGTCAGCGGGCCCCAGCGGGCCCCGCCGTTTTAAGGGTCAAAATGCCACTTGAAGTTTACCTACATGCGTGAATCGTGACTCCATTCTGCGCCATCTTTAGTATTATAAATATACTCGCGCGGTCACGATCGAATCGGCTTAGAAGACTTTCACTACACGATCAGCTTAGAATACTTTCTTTCTTTCCTTTTTTATTCGTCTTAAAAAATATGATATGTTTTTGTGATATATATGTCATCGAAGCGGCCCTTAGGGCCTCCTTTTGAATAGTTCCTTGGCTTCTTCCTTCTGCCCTTGTTTGCAAAGAGTTAAACCTGTGCGAGATTCTTCACGATTCCTAATAAATCATACAAAAAAACAACGGACAAATAAAACTGAATTCGTACGGACTAAAATGAATAGAAAACCTCCGCTAACTTGTTGTTGCCCTCAACAACAACAAGTTAGCGAAGGAGGATTCCACTTTTGCCTTGCGCTCCAGCTTCTTCTGGAAAACCAGAATAGGTTGCACATTATTTTCGATGAGAAGATCAGTATCCTTCATGCACACGTCAATGTCGCGTTGTTTCGATCCCTAAAATTATCTCTTCGACACACAAAAAAAACAGTTTCGTGAAGCCAGCAGTAAACGTCGATTGCGGCCACCTTTCCGGAGAAAGATCTCAAATGAACATCGCATGTCATATCTTTTAAAAGCGGAAAAAGACCTGTAATGCCCATATCACACTATTTCTCCCGGTATTTTTATGGCGTAACGAGAGATGTGAACAGAGCGAAGGTCAGATGCAAATGAGCCGTTTTTGATTTTTTCCCCATGATGCCCTTCGGACCGTGTCCAACACCGCCTGCTTTTTACTCAGATATTTGCAGGACAAAATATAAGTGATATTCTCCTTCAGTACGGTTACGAGATTAAACTTCACACATGCAGTGAAACCGGGTCATTTGAGGATTTTGGCGGGCATTTCGATTTTTAACAAAAAGTGTCCTCATAAACACGGTTATCAAAACACCACTATTACACAATAAAACGATAATTTCCTAGGCACAACTGTTTATTCTTAGGCTGCACAACAGGCGTTATTGGGGTGCTCAGGCGGGTTTTAAGCCGCCAGTACGAGGCGTTATACAAGAGAGAGGAGGGAAAAGAGAGAAATATTGCCTCTCTCTCAGCCAATAGAAACCAGCGTTCGCCAGATGACCGTTTCGAAGAGAGAGAACAATAACCTGTCTACAGGCGTTATTTTTCTCTTTTCCTCCCTCTCTCTTGTCTTGCACTCAGATTTGCTCCCCGAAACCCGCCTGAGTGACCCCAATAACGCGTGTTGTATAACAACATGATTAATCGACTAGACAACCTAAAAACATGGTCTGGAAGGATACTGCCGGGATCCGGGATCTTAACAAAATACAGTGCAGGATTCAGGAAAACGTTGATAGTATTCGAGATTTGACGGGAAGCAGATAGTAGGAAAGTAGAGGATGTAGACCCCGATGGTGTGGCCAGCCTTTCCTCAGTGTCTGGAAGGGTATTTCCGGGAAACAGGATGTGAACAAAATACAGTGCGGGATTTGGGAATACGTTGACGGGACACGGAATGTGACTGCCAGACGAGAAGTAAGATAAGCTGAAATTTAGCCACTGATGCGAGTTTGGAAAAAAAAGATATTCGAAATAGCGATGAAAAAAGTTTGGGATGTGCGTTCAAGACCCTCCTTTCCAGACCCTACAAACTTGCTTCTGTTCTTTCTGTCTTGTGCCCTACCTTTTGCAATCTACTGTATTGGCCAGTTTTCAGTTCAGAATCTGTGTCAAACTGCATTAGAACTGCAAAGTGAGTTAAGTGATTGCAGCTGCATTCTGTCCTGGAGTCATTCAACCATTTGACATGACATCCTCGTCCTGACCAACCTACAGGGCTTCACGAACAATAAAATAAGTCACCAGCACAAGCAGGCAACGTTTTTACTTTTAAGAGTAAGAACTGCCGTTTTCGATCTTGCCGTTCATTTTCAAAGCCAGAGGAATGGGTTTGAAAATGCTCCAACCAAAAGGAGACACAGTACTTCGATATCCCAGCTTGCAATATTGGATCCACTGTTAAAACTCACCCTCCGCCGGTACACCATTTATTCAATTTCTCTTCCACCCTTACATTCCTAGCATTTACTGTGCCACCCTCCCTCGAGCTTTACAAGGATACGCGATATACGTATTTCTAGTTCCTAACTGGGACAGTCCACTAGCTAACTAAAGTGTGGAACACAACAATCCCGTGTCATGTCATATCATCTCATCCTGTCCTGTCTTATCACATTAAGGCGCTAACTAAAGCTGTGACAGACTTCGCGGGATAGATTATTTTGTATCTAGAGAAGCGGCGTGGACAACTGTCGGCAAGCTTTAAGAAGAACTCGGATATAAATCTCCTCCTAGCAAAAGCTGGATTTGAAGTTTCTCGGCCACCCCGAGTTCAACTCCTCCCCCGTGCTTGTAAACAGCGAACTGGTTGCTTCTTGACAGACCTTACAGCTGGGGTTTTTAATCCTTTTAGTTCTATTTAACTTGTAGCCTGAGAAAACAGCCGACATTGGCGACGCTACGTGGTTTCGCCACCAAATGACGTGTGAGAAACGAGCGCAGAAATTCCATAGTGCTCCTGATTGATTGAATCATATTTCCCACGCGGTACGACCAATCAGAAGCACTACCCAGTTCTGGGTAGTGACGCGTCATCAGTATGGAATTTCTGCGCTCGTTCTCAGACGTCATTTGGCGGATGAACCAGTAGTACCGTCACCAAATGTAGGGTGTTTTCTCAGGCTATTTAACTTGAATTGTTTGCCGTTTCTTCGTATTTACGTGTACCGTCTGTAAAACAGATGACGTGCATTTCCACCGTAGTTAAACCATTTACGATTTCCCATCAACTTCTTCCCCAATTTATAAGTCTAATCCATATGCCAAATCTATAAGACTCTGGGCACTTCACCGCTAAGTCGGCACTTGTTACGCTACAGTGGCTTACGAAGATTTGAATTTCGCGGTCGATGATCTGGCTACGCATCGGTAATCGCAACCTTTGTTTCGCGAATAATAGAGGCACTTTACCTTAAACAATAAAAAAAAACCTTAAAAGTAGCGAAAACCTCTGTCATTGTTATCCCAAAATTGCAATCCAAAGTTTGATACGAATAGGCATGCGCAACTTTAGAAACGAGAAGTAAACAAGAGCGGAAATACATCCCGCAGTTGTTTCTGGGATTGTTATTGGAGACGCACCGGTCAGCGATTGGCCAATTTTTTCTCCCCTGTTTGAAGAACAGTCCCAGAAGTCTTTGCTAAAAGTTAGCTCGTCCCAGTTTCTTTCTCTTTCTAAAGTGGCGAATTTTTTTTATACAATTACCGTCGGCACCTGCTGTTCAATTTACCTGTCTTCCCTAAAGTTCCAAAATACACACTCTCTTTTCCTTGTTGCCCTCTAAAATCGAAAATGAAACGAATCTTGTTATGATTTTCAGTACATCTCAGTTTAGCTCGTCAAAAAGTGACATCAGGTTTTAAAATACTAGATATTCCTCTAAGACTGAAGAAGTTAATGTGATGAAGTACCAACAAAAGGGGTTTTGTTGATTCATACGAGCCTAAGAATTTGTTAGGGTAAGTCCAGAGCAAAAAGACGTATTGGCTTAAGGATTTATTTCATTAATGGCCATGTCAGTACGTATTGTCAGTAACTATCCCGTAGATATCCAGGTATCCGAATAATTAGATAACCTAGGAAGTTTCTTGTTTAGGAAAAGCTTACCATTACGTTCAAGAACACAAGTGTGACGTTTCGCTGCAACGTGGAAGGATGAGGATTAATTGTTGCTGACATGATCATAGTGTTGAGACTCTTGCTGAAAAGCAGAGGAAATAAGAGAACATAAAAGTCACAGAAGAAATTCACTTTTTCTGAAAAGCATAAAGAGAGATTATTATAGGTCCATAGGCGAAAAACGTTAAGACCTGGCATCTCTCCCTAGGTTAATGTAGTAGTGTAAGTTGACGGTTAATTAAGAATATGCCCGAATAAAAAACCATTCTGTAACACGGATTCCATTTTAATGCTGGTTTGTATATAGATTAGGGTGGAGAATAGTGTCCTTTCGTAAGGAAAACCTCACTTTGGAACAGAGTTTGGACAGAAAATGTGCACAAACATATCAATTCTTTAAAGACCTCAAGAAACCTACAGTTAAAAGTCTTAGAACAAGAACGTACGACAATGGACCCCGACATTAAATATTTTGCAGCTAGCTAGACATAGCTGTCTTGTACTCTAGAGTATACGGAAAGCTAGTTACACTAGCTAGCACTGACCTTGTTTTGTTAATCATTGTATTCGTTTGGTTTACGAGAAACAGTTCTTGGAGTGTTTTATAGATGACACCTAGAAAAATTGAACCTGAAAAAAAAAGCGATCCATACTTACGTGATAACGACAAAAGCACGGCTTTAAACATGTTTAAACTCTTTTCTCAATTTTCTTCTTAAGTTATCAGGGTAAAATCATAAAAAAGGTTAAATAAAAATTGAACTGGTTCTGTAAGGAAATGTATGAAGATCAGTCTAAGGGAATTGTATGTCAACATCGCGGGTAGCACAAGAGTAAATATCTCCCCCCGGGACGAAAACAGAGGCCGTTATAGTAGAAATCGGCTGTGCAGCGTTTTCTCTCACATGAATAGCGGCTGTTTTAGTTACTACTGGGATAACGAATTTGCTTGCATACCGTTACGACTGAAGTCTTCTGAAGGAATTTTGATGTAGTTTTGTCCTTCTGGTTCAAAGAGATCAAATTGGCTCCCGTTGTCGTAGACTCCTTTTCTGATCTGTAAAGCTATTATACAATAACTTTAGTAAAGTGCAGAGAATTTATGCATTTGAAATTATTGTTACTGTTAAACTCCTTTTTCGAAACCTTCACCGTAGTTTTAACCCTGCAATTACAACTACATAATTTGCTCTTTTCACTCATGACCACCCCAGGGGAGTAAAAGCGATTCGGGTGCAAAAGTTAAGAGTTTATTCCTGAACACCATAAATGGAGCACCAAAGTCTTTAATTTATGTCGTAAATGAGACGAACGCTTAAGCCCCTCCACTTTTCATATGGAAGTCCTCCCGTGAATTAAGACGGTAAAGGGCCTCTTTTTTTTTTCTTGCCCCGAATTTCATTAGACAGTAAATAGTACAGGTAGCTTTTTTCGCTGGCTCACGCTGGCGGCTCAATAGCCAAAATTTTCCCAGAACTCCCACAAGTGAGCCTTAGCCCATTCTCCGTCGATTGCGACCGTACCTTGTGTCGTCACGCATTTCCTCTACCCCTGGATAGTGGGTTTATACCAGATCCATTGGTCTAAAAGCCCTTAGACACCTTATGAAGTTTACATGATTAGGTATTTCTCACATGTCTACAAAGGCAATCAATGGTTACTGTGTAACCTGGCTAGGTAGCACTGAGTTTTTTCCCCTTCCCCACATGGTTCCACGCTGGCACACCGACTCCTCAAAGACCAATCCCCTCCTATTTCTTATCTAATCTCCAAGCAAGCTCGAGTTAACGATTTTTTAGAGTGTCTTGTTTCCTAAAAATTGCATTTCCTCTTTGTCGATGAGAATTTTTCATGAATGTTTTTATCAAAATATTACCGATGGTTTCATATTCTATTTACCCTTACTGTGATGACCTAATCGAAACCATTAATTAATCTTCTTCACTATAAGTGAACATGCTTTTGGGTTGTAACTTGTAAATGGCAAGACAGCAAAATGTAGAAGTCGCAGAACATTTAAAATATTGCCGTTTTCATTCAGGTGGTCAGTAGCTATGTAAATATCTTGGAACAAAGAAATTAAAAGTTTCTACTTGAGAAGAGAGTTTGATCCCCAAAGGATTATCTTGTTACACCAACTTAACATGGCCGCTATTTCACTGTTTTGAACACTAACATTTTCTCCGTAATGTCAGGGGGGAATGATCGATTCTAAATACTTACCTATATTTTGGCTGTTCACCGAGAGATGTGCTGTATTGTTGACGAGGTGATACTGACCAAATTTTAATGCAAATTCCTCGAAAAGGAGAGTAGCCGTCAGCACTTCCTCCATCATTTGTTCCACTGTTTTATTCAGACTTCTACCGTCTACTGATGTACGATTGGCGTACTCTTTCATTTTATCATCGAAAACCTTGACAGCTTCCTAGGAAAAGGAACCGCGAAAAAAGCCAAGGATTCAGTCTTCAAAAAGATATCGTTATCAGGGTTTGTCTTTTCAGAACGTCTCTAGGTGGTAGATTACGGGGAAGGGTAAGTCCAGACCCTCTCTAATCACATTTATCTGATCAGATGACACTCTAAAGTACTCATGCTTTCTGAGTAATAGACTTACAAAAATGCCATATGGAAAAAGAAATAAAATTATTATACAATAATTTTCAATTACCTGCAAAGAGTCTTTCTTTTGAAAGTCAAGTTTGTTTAATGCATTTGTCATCTAGGAAAGTAAAAGCAAACGACCGTATTAATCGGAAATGCATGACTAAAAAAGTAACAATGGGAGGAAACATTCAAACCTTCGCAAAAACCGCTAAACTTTTCACAGCTAATTTTTGTTGTCAGATGCAGTGCCCTTAGTGTTGTTTAAACTGATTCAGAAATTATTAAATAAAGTGATTGTAAGTCTTTTCTACGTAAAAGTAAGGCTAGAAAAAGTGGCAATCATTAAAAATATATGTCTTCTAAAATGATTGAGGTCCGACCTCGCACAGATCTTAAGTAACAATTGTGTAACAATGTTCTAGCTGGAAAAGTTTGTTTGACATTTTTGGTGACACCATTTTCTAACAGAGTTACGCAACTTAGTGGCCGGGATAGCGGGACATCCAAATTGTCTGAGCCCTAAACACCTAGCAACTTGCGTTTGCGCAAAACTCTGGCAAAATGACGTCAGGCATAGGAGTCCAAGCTGCAAAGCGTGTTGTAAAATGCCAACTAACTGTGACGTATTTTTACAATATTTGGACGAAAATTTCACTGTGATAGCATGGAATCTTAGAGAAAGACAGGTAATGGAACACATTGATAGCTTTTCAACAGTGAAAGACGTTAGAATAATTTTTACTAATATAGACCTTTAAATTGGTTTGTTTTGGTACCTCTTTGATTAAGTCATACTCAGTCTCGTCTTCCATATCATCAATATCTGGTTCCATCACGGATAAAAATGAGAAAAAAAGGTGACATCTTAAAGACAAAATAAAGCTGTTATATTTAAATGAGTATTCAATTTCTACTTCTGAAACCCGTTTTTTTGAAAAAAAAAGCCTACTGGATTACTGAGTATTAAAGAATAAATAGGCTCCTATCAAAAAAAAAGGAGCCATGATTTAACAAAAACTGCTACAGATAAAATGTTCATCTTTGTTTTGACCAGACTTGACTGAGGGAAATCATCATCACTGCAGTTCTAATCACTTACAAAAGTAGGAACCTAAAGCTACATGCAAAAGGATCCAACAAACCCTAACATTGTGGGGCCAACAATGTTAAAAGTTGTTACGTCCGTGTTGGCAAACAATATTGGGACCTGCAGTGCATCCTGGAGAGAATACAACCCAGAACACTTTGTAAACTATGTTTAATGCAAGTGAGTGGCCCCAACAATGTCTGAAGAGCTTTAGAAACGGATCCAACATTGTTGCACCACGCTTCGGAACAAAATGTTGGGAGTTGTTGGCTCAAACATTTGACAGCGGTTTCAAACTTTGCCCAACAACTCCCAACAACACGCTACAACATGAGTTTTATAATTAAAAAATCATAACCAAAATCAGATACGTACCGCTTTCGTTGTACCTCCCACCAGAGTCACAATGGATAATGTTAACACTGAAAAGGTAAGGGTATGGACAATAATTGACCTGTATTCTTGTAGCAGGTAAATAAGTGCTTATTTCAAATGTAAACGCCTGTTGAGTCGGTGACTGTAAGAAGAAATGCTTATAGAAATAAAAGTCTTCCAAACATCTTCTTTGTAGTACCGACGAATGGAAACACGTTAAAAATGATTCACACCAATCTTCCTTTGTTTTGTAGTCTACCAGCAACCAGGTGCCGTTTGTACCATTTACAAGTTTCGCGCACCTTGCGTCTTTGCTAAGAGAACCAAAATATTGTCCTGAACATGGTAAGCCTACATAAAAGACAAAACTGAAAGTAAATCTTTAATAGATAAGGGGAATATCTCGAAGCCCCCCGGGAGATTACGGAGAGATTACTTCCTATCTTACAATGGCCTATAAAGGGAAACTTTATAGGCCATTTTATTGGCCCCGAAAAGGGTGCTTTTCAGGCTTCAGGTATATGAAAGGCTAAGGAATTTATTGATTGAGGTATGTGAAAGCAAGGGTAGGTAAATTATTGTGATCTATAAAAAAGGTCCCGCAAAATGGCTAACAATGCATTTGATGGCTGTGAAAAAGTCGAGAAAGCGTTATGGTTTTGTGATTTTTTCATGTTTTAAAAGAGACTGAGTGCATTTACAGCAGTTAAAAGAGATACAAAGTTCTAGGTGTGAGGCAGGTGTACCCTTTGTCAATAGAATGTATACGAAAGGGTTACCTTTCCTGTGTAAAAAGGTATACAAAAGGGTAATGGGTTGGACTTCTGGGAGGAGACTCCCCGTGTGATACTTTTTTGACTACCCCAGGGGGGGTAAAGGTGTCTCCAAGGAAATCTGTGGTACAGTCCGACTGCCAGTATGACGTCACATCTCTCGTCAGTGACTTTCAAAGGCGAGCAAAGTGTTCATCGAAGATACGGATAAAAATTTCAATTTTATCATGGAAATACCGTTCCGATTTCTTGGTTTTGGAGATTTTAAGGTTCCTATTGTCATAAAAAAACTAGACTTAAGTACTTTTTTGGGAATGAAATGTCCAGTGGTGGAATGAATTTTTAAGATTCCTTTCTATCGTCGAGCAAATTTTACGGGCGATCATACCGACGGGTCACACTTTTGAGGGCCAGTGCACAGCAAGATTGAGGATTTTAGACACAGCAATAGGAGGTTCATGAAAGGATGTATTATACTTTACATTGTGCGTATTTTCATCTCTTTAGAGCTAGTGGAACCCCATAACATTGCTCTCAAAGTTCGCTTAGCTGTAGCGTTGAAAGAGGAAGCTAAATGAAAGGTATTTGTGATAGACTGTGAGCATTGAATTGTGTCGCTTTATCGCATTTTAATATTGTATTGGGCATACACCTGTAATTCTTTAATTATGTCCCAAAAGGCAATAAAAGGTTTCGTTTAATTATTTTGGGGGGCCAAACCCAGTGGAGATTTTAGGGTAATGATATTGATGATGAAGACGATGTACAAAAGGCACGTTTAACTTTCGCCAGTGGGTCACTGGTGGGTGTTGAGTGTAAACCCGAGGGGGGGGGTGGGGGGGGGCGGTACTTTAGGAATTTCTGGGTGGGGATGTGCCGCTGGGACCCTGGAACCTATACCAGAGCTAGTTCAGCTGAATTTTGCTACACTATACTAGTGTAAACTCCCCAAATCCCCCCTATCCTAGTGTAGCTGTTTTCCAGAAACTACTGAGGTCACTAGCACAGTCTACCCAAAACAAAACCTTATACCACAATCCCTAGTCTGGATAAAATCTTCAATCAACTGATCAGTTTCCTGAAAAATAATAACCCATTCTAGACCCAAACGCTCTGATTTACATACCCTATCCTAGAGTAAACTGCTTGAAAACCATACCCTCCACAGCGGCACATACCTATATAGCCCATATATGGCAGTACCCCCCACCCAGGAGTGCAAATTCGAGTACAGCTTGTGGTGTACTGTGTGTTGTTTATCGTGATGTCAACTGACATTGAAAAAAAATTAAAAATTCAGCTGTTTCAGAGGAGGGATGTCTTGACAGCCTATGGTTTTTTGTCTGGTCGTAAGCTTGGACAGTATTCAGATCAAGAGCTTTTGAAACCCCTTAGCCAAAATAAAACTCCGGACTTAAGCTTAAAATATATATTGATCCAAATGCTTGACCAGAAGGGTCAGCAGTAAGAATAAAGAAAAAAAAGCCAAAAGGAAATTCAGTGTTAAAAAAAGAGACCGAACAGGAAAAAAGAAAACGGTACAAAGAAACAGAAAACAGCGTTGACGGGAGACGAACGCGGTTTATGTGCACGTGCAAACATGTCCTTGACCACTGCACCACAGCGACACACATTTTGTCATATCAAAACAGTTTTTCTCTGCCATAGACGCTGTTTGAAGCTGGTGGAGCTGTATTTATAATAAATTCAAAACACATTTTAGGAAAATTAGCTTAAGCGCGTATTTCAAAGCTATTTCGCATTATTTCGGGTTCAACGGACCGACGTGATGTAGATAATCAATCGAACTAGCTTTACCGACTTTGGTGTAGAATTAGGAGATCAACAGAGGCCCACACTCGAAAGCAATGATGTGAAGTTAGGCCCATTTAATTAGCAAAAGAATAGATGAAATATAAACATACGTGATCTGTGAATAGAACTTCCTATTCTGGAGACTAGACCTTGCCTATTTTAGAGAAAGAAAAATTTAAGTTTTGATGACCTTGCCGGTCCCGTGAAATAGATGGCGATCCCGCAACGCGGTCTGCAAAACAAATTAACAAAGTTATACAATCACGGACACAAAATATCAAAACGGTTAACACAAGCAGATTATAGCAACACCAAAGCTCACACACATTCGATCAAATTAGCGATATACAGCGATATTTGCTAGCTTCTTAGCTTTTCCTCGACCTAATTTGCAGAAACAATCCGTGGCTCTTGCCCGTTACTATTTGACGTCATACTGGCAGGCGGAGTGGGTCAAGAAACTTAGGTGGAGAATAATAGAGTTACCGGAATACCCCTCTACCCCGGGCTGGAGTCCTATTCCTCCGTAACCGAATCACGACGCTAATTACAAATTTATTTGAAACCTACAATCGCGACAAAATTGTTGAGACACACCCCTCCCACAACACCCCTCTCCCTGTCCCCTCCATTCAAAGTTGGAATGTTTGTTGTTTTCGTCGATACCTGCAGCAAAAATCAGCCAAAAAAAAAACAAAAACAAAGATGGCAGCAAGATGCTTTTGAAGATACAGTCACACCTTTATATAACGCCCCTGTGTATAGCGGTCACCCTGAATATTACGGTCACCGGACAACTTCCCGAAATTTTCAGTTGCCTTATATTTTCTGCAAAGTTGAGCTGTATATAGAGGTCACCCTGTTTGTAACAGTCACCTTGCCATTTCCCAAGGGTGACCTTGGTACACAGGTTTGAATGTAAACTCTAAAGTTTGTGAGGTTCATTCCTTGAAGCGTCCTGGAGGATTAGCTCACTTTTACCACCTCATAACACATGCTAACAATGTTTTATTTCTGCGTACGTACCCCTCTGAGCGGTTTTTGATGCGCATCGATATCCTGTTGCCTTGATTTTGAATCTAGGAAGAGATCTTTTCCAGCCGCAGTTTTTAATATAAATGTTCGTCACGTTCGAGACATTAACATCTTTTGTAGCAGTGGAGATGTCAAAATTGGACAATCGAAACCAATTAAACTTCTTATAGCAAAGCTTCCTCCAATCTGAAGTCTCGTTAAAGCACAAAGCTATGAGAGAACACCATTTCGACAGGCATTTGCGTATTTTTGAGTCTCTTTTGTAGTAATAGTAATAGTAAGGAACATGGCATTCCATGGCGTAATAAGGAACAGACGTTCCATTGACAAGTGATTGACAGTTTCCTTCTTCAAGTTCTTCGGATTGCAACGAGCAATACCCGCCTATGTCAACCAGAAAAACCAAATAAAATTTAACGGATGTTACTAAAACAGAGAACGGTAAGCGGAACGAGTACGAGGAACGGGAAAATGAAAAATGGGAGCAAAAAGAGAATTGGAAATGAAATGTTAGCGTTCAAATAGGGTTTTGTTCAAATCTTTCATTTTTCCCGTTCACCAGTGCTCGTTCCCCCAGTTTAGTAACATTCAAATTTAACACCGGGCTTTTTTTGGTTTTGTTTTGTTTTTTTCTTGTTGTTTTGGAACCAATCTTTGTGCTGTATCTACCTGAGCAGCCTCTTCCTCGGGCGCTTCGTTTTTCGCACTGCACGGAGGCGAGCGCGAAACGCGAGTGACTGGTAACGAAGAGTAAGGGACTGTGGGAAGAAGTCTCGCCCGTTTTCTCACTCCCGCCTTCCGTTGCGCGCAAATTTTCATCAAGAGAGAGACGTCTGGGTACAAGGCAGCTGCCTGTGCAAGATTTGATTCAAACCTATAACCCCACTGTGTTCACAATGAAACCGCAAATAAATTTGCAGAACAATGGCCAAGGAATTAATTAGCAGCTGCTGAAGGGAAGAGTTTCTGAATTAAAAGCGTTTTTAAAACAAATCGGAGAAAAACCTTGGATCGAAGAAGGGCGTTCACAATCAGTCACCAACCTACTTTCCCTAAAACGTTCGAGTTTATTTTGAAGTTGTTGGTTTTGTTGGTGTTGTTTGTTGTTGTTGTGTTAGAACAATTTACGCCAAAAGCCAGAAAACAGTTTTAAGCCTGATACTTTATGTGCCCAATCGTCCTGTAATTGCGGGCGAGGGAAAAAAATGGTTGATCTCTTGTTAAGTTACAATTTGATCGATTGGAAACAGCTGCGTGCAGACAGGATTAACCTCAATTCCTTGTAAGGTCTCCAATTTGGTTTTAATGTTTTAAACAAGAAGTGCCAGCATTAAGATTACGAAAAGAGCTTCGTCGTTTGTTTAATTTTAATATCTTATACAAATCAATTGTTTGCTTCGGGAAGAATTTTCTAATTTCTGTCTTTATGCTGTTTGCAAAGTCTGAGAAATAATTTTTCGACCGATATGCCATGGAAATACTATATTTGAAAGCCATTTTTTCTTAGAAATAAAAGTAATGACCAATATAGAGCCTGTCGGTTGTATACTGTAAAACAAAGAAGAGGAGGAAAAAGGTTAATATCAGGTTTCTTTAGATAGCATTGGGCGGTTCAAGATATTAAAACTCTCGAACTCTTTTTCATTAAAATTTAATTGAACTTCTGACGTAGGGGTGA